GAAGCTGTCTCCAGAAACATTCACGCGCTTTCGCCAGCTAGCGCGGGATATATTGAGAACGAATGATGATATGCTGGGCTTGGTCGTATCATTGATACTAGGAGACGCGGGGAAAGATCCTGACCTAGAAGACTTCGTGCACAAGAAGGATGGTAAAAGGCTAAATCATGACCAAGTCTTAGCCAGGGCCATTGAGCTGGGACAGTTTGACAAGCCGCTGCGCTTACTCTCGGACAAGAAACGGGAGGAGATGCTTCTGGGGGTGGAGGTCGGCGCAAAGCTCAACATTCCACAATTGACGCAAGGTGAGAACGTCCCAGGGAGTTTGGTGAGTATTCTCATGCTACAAGGAAAGCCACAGGCATTTAGGATGAAGTATCTCGAAATTATGTTGGATGTATCGGGCGCAGGCGGCCATGTTGACGCGCGTGGTGCCGTTCGCATGATCGAGCCCGTCTGCCAGTCCTTTCTCTCCGCCTACCCGGTGCTGATGAATGTCATTACTGGCAAGCTTTCAGTGCGCGATGCGTATAACACGGTCCTGCAAAATCGAGGTCAGCTACTAGCCGACCAAGGCTTCCATACATTATCCACAAACAGTCCCAGCGACCGGGCCTTTCTCCGCCTATGTGCGATGGGTAGAGTAGCGGATAAACATCTAGCAGAACTGTTTGAGAAAGCATTCATAGATCTACCACAACCTACACGAGCAGAGCTCATTAATGGATTGAACGTCGACGGGTGCAATGGCGAGGATGCGGTAATCCTTTACTACATGCCTGCGATCTTTGCAGAGGCATTAAGGGTCACTCGTTCGGCACCAGATGTAAAGAAAATCCAAGTTCTTCAGAGCCTCATGTCATTCATGGCACGAACATACCATGATACAAAGCCCATTGATGGCCATCCCGGCGTCATTCTTGAACGTAATGTGTCTGGGGCAAAGGACTATATACTACGAGACGGTTTCATCGACGATCCTACTATTTTGAACCAATGCGTTCCTCCAGTGGCGACATGTTAATACAGGCCTTCTGTACTTGAATTTGTCCCCGGCACTCCCTAATGTTAATCTTCAATGACTATTGATCAACCGACATGCGAGATTTACGAGACATGAGGTCATGAACTTTTGACGATTCTTACTTCAATTCTTTACCATTCTGTCTATCTGCGCGGATTAAGTTATTTGTCGATTCTTACTCGGCATTCCTATGATAAGGCCATTTTTGTATCTGCTTATAATGACGCTGCCGCGGGTACTGTGCATCTTTTAATCAGGGAGGCTGTTTTCTTTCTCAATTTCAGTCTAATGGTCTGTTTAAAAACGATATCAAATGTTTGAATGCGCTTGGCAGATACTTTGATCAATATAAAGGAATATCTCATTCAGAAAGTATTCGACCTCCTATACCAAGGGCCTTTGACCGCCTGATATAACCACATACGAATAAAACAGGCAGATTGTAGTTTTACTAACAAAGAGCCTGAAGCGGTGAACCCGAAGTACCGATAAGATAAGCTGCGGCGATAAGATAAAGAGCGGTTGAATCTCAGGCTACCAGGTTTACACATTTGCATTGCCGGGATCGCTCGGAATGGAATTCCACTTCTGCACTTCACCATCACTCTTGGTGACCCCGTCATTCCGCACCACAATTGCCTGATCACCTCTCGGGACCGTCCAACCGGTCCATAAGAGCCTATACTACGATCTAATTGACTTAGTTGATCCCTCTAGATCTCGTCCATGCAGTCGGAATCTCCCACGCACAGCTACACCACCTCGGAACCCCCTCGGAAAAAGCGAGCCAAATACACTCAGGTCGCTTGGTGCGCCCATCATCTTATAACAACACTACGTTGGAAGATACATAACTGATTGAATCCTGCCAGTAATGAATGCAAAAGGCGTAAGTTGAAATGCAGCGGTGAGCCAACGTGTTCACGGTGCGCCCGTGATGGCGTGCCATGCGTTTATACGCCTAGCGCATATGCGCCGAGTAACCCTACGACTTCGATGGAGGAACCAAATGATGAAGGGTACGAGAAACTTCTTGTCGGAGTTGAATACTTTGGGCTGACTAGAATAGGGTATCTGCGAGGTTCCAATCAGTTGATCGCCAGATCGAGTCACTTCAGCATGAGATGCGCGCGATGGCTGCTCGTTTGCGCGAGCTCGAATCGTCTTCGCCGGCTAACAGTAGCGCAAATAAGCCGCCTCCGAGACCGGCTTCCATCGTATCTTCTCAAGCCACGAATACTGGTCTACAGCGTATGATGAATCGGCCAATGTCTCCATATCATGTTGGACCTACGAGTGCGGAGTTCGGTCTGACCGCGCGCCGGAAGCCGTTGGAGGACGACGATGAATTTGAGTCCACTGCTGCACCGAGTCCCGTTGCAGCGCCTGATGCCGATATTGCGACCGATGATCCATTAGGGAACCTCGGGCTGACAGAGGCTCTGAGGCTGGTGACGGTCTATGAAAACACAGTGGGCTTGATGTACCCTTGTGTTGATTTGGACAGTGTGCGCGCATGTATTGTTGACTTCTTTCGAGATGATTCTCGTCAGATTCTGAGCTCGGAGCAACAGGACTGGTTCTTTGCGCGCGATGTAGAGGTGCTGAAAATTATCTTGGCCATAGCTTTGCTGACGGAATCGCATGGGCGGAGTGAGCGAGCTGCTGTGTTGGCAGAAAGTGTTGAGGATCGTTTTGCGACTCGCGTTAATATCCCCGAGGTTGACATGAAAGAGCTTCTTATACTGACACTGCTGGTGTGTGGCCTATCCGCTATGTCCCCTTCACATATGACTAACAGTAATCGTCTCCAAGTCAATATTCCATTCGTACCGGGATGATGAAGTTATTTCGTGGCGTTGTATTGGGATGGCTTGTCGAGGCTCAATGCAACTAGGCCTACATTGCCAAGAGACCTGGTATAGAACGGGAGGTGTGTTCCCCGGCGAGCTGCAATGGATGTGGGCTAGTCGTCTCTTTTGGTGTATCTACGTGTTGGATCGGAGATGGTCCTTTGGCACTGGCCTTCCTTTCGCTATTCAGGACACGGACATGGACACCAACCTTCCCGTGCCGGGAACCGCCACTCCTTATCTCACGTGTATGATCTCGTACGCACAACTCAGCGGCAAGATATGGGGGCTCGTAGTCGGCTGGGGCAGTCGATCGCGTGCAGCGACGTCGGACTACTGCTCGTACCTTGACTTCCAAGTCCAGCAATGGATCCAGTCAATTCCGCAAGAACTACGGTTCGACCCTTCACGGCCTTCATCCCCCGACGCGGTTCAAAACGATAACATGATGATGCTACAAGTGCTCCTTGCACTGCAGGCTAACCAACTTCGCATTCTCGTGTACCGCCAAAACCTGCTCAGTAGCGAGAGCATTGAGACGAATGTTTCTGGCGCATCTGTCGCCGTCGAGACTGCGAAAAGTACGATCCACATGCTAGACTACTTCACTCGCGTTTCGGATATCTATTTTCAGCGTCCGGAGCCGTTCAATTACTTCCTAATTTCGGCACTGGCCGCACTGTTTCTTGCCGTGTTTCATGCACCGAGTCGATTCAGCAACGTCTGCCGTGCGGAATTCTATGCTGCCGTAGACATGGTGAGGAAGTCATCCACTCGGGCCAGAACATCCAGACGACTACAGAAAATCATTCGCAGTTTGAAATTGATTAAGCTGAATGTCGGGAAATCGCCTTATAAACACGGACAACCGCCGGAAAACCTTGGCAAGGTACTATCTCGTTTCAGCCACGGACAGCATGACTCGAACCAGTCCAGTCTGCCGCAGTCTCCGTTGGCCCCGTCGCACCAGCACCAGCCATCCGGTATCCCGACTCCACAGCCTTCCGCCTCCCTTTGGTCCGTGTCTTCTCCACTGGCTACGGCGCCAGTGAATTATGGCAACAACGATGATAGCTGTGACGATTTGACTAGTTTCTTTGAAATGGCTGGCGGACTTTACTTCGACCCCAAGACGGGTCCCCCCGAGGAGGCACCTGCAGCCGACGGCGCTAGTGCAGGGGTTGAAGGGATTGATGCGTTTCACGCCGAAAACGAGGCGCTGACCCGGGTAATGGCTGGCTTGTTATAAATGAAGGTGGCGGTCTAAGGATTGGTTTACCGGATGGTGCTTAGTATGGTCTGTTTGACCAGGAGCATGGGCAACTCAATCTCTCCGTCCTAGACCGGTCTAAGTACCCCTGCCATTGGTGGAACTAGTCTAATGCACGGGAGCCAAATAGTCTGAAGCTAATGCATCTCAATCCCGAGGTTTCTGCCTGAAGAATCCACTCGGCTAATTGGCCAAGCCAAGACGATCAGCACTCCCCGTGACAAGTGTGTTCGATTACTATATTGGGCAAAACTCCTGGACGAGTGTTGCTATGAGCCAATCATGGCAGAAGCTATACCTTGACCTGCAGAATACCCCAATGATGTAATTTCTCCGTATCTGGGGGAGGAGTTAGTACCGGTGATTGGCTGACTGGCCATCGAACCGTGTTCCTCGGACATTCCCTGGCTTAATGTGAGGGGTCATTGTATCCTGCGCGCGGTCTATTCTCTTGTGTGTTATGTATATCTCACATATCAGCTGTTATCTTTCTCAGATTAAACTTTCAGTGGAGTGTCCATGAAGCATACATAGAGTGGAACATCTCCGCGTCATGACCAGTGGCTGGTACCATGCATATAATGCACACGCACTATAGATCGCTACGTCTCAGCACCAACAACCGGGTCGGCCATTACTGGAGACACACGGGAAACCGTACGTCGGAGGATTGCATTCCTCGAATAGATGTAGTCGTTAATCTCCGGCGGAGTAAAGCACGCCTTTCATGTAAACTGAACGCACATACACATCGAGATAAACACAAGAAACTTGATCTCTAGTATATATAGTACCATGTATCTCACAAGCAAATCGACTCTTCAAGCCACACATCTCTCTTTCTTCGCTAATCATGTATCTCCAATCTTCTCTTGCAGTAGCCCTTCTCCGGGCTGCCGTGGTTCATGGTTACGCTAATCCGGGCGCTTGCTCTGGCGCCTGCAACATCCATGATCCTGCCTTAATCCAGAATGGCGATGGAACGTACTATCGCTTTTCTACCGGGAATGGCATCTCCTTTGCTTCTGCTTCATCCATCGAGGGTCCATGGACAGCTCTTGGGTCTGTTTTGCCTAGTGGATCGTCGATTGACAACTCCGGGAGTAATGATCCTTGGGTAAGTATTTCTTTTTATCTTGCCTTATTGACCCTCCCCTATTGTCTACTTCCGCTATGCCGATCTATTTCTTCTTTGTATTTTTATTTTTATTCTCGCTGCTGTCATTCTGCGAACGATGTTGGAATGAACAACTCTTACACGCCTTCCCGCACTTTCTACCTAGCAACATATAGCTAACAACTCTTAGGCACCTGATGTGCAGAAGGTGGGCAGCCTTTACCACCTCTACTATGCTGTATCGACTTTCGGCAGCCAAGAATCTGCCATCGGTCTCGCAACCTCCGAAACCATGGAGGAAGGTACATGGACCGACCAGGGCTCAATTGGGGTTACATCCACAACGGGTAACCAATACAACGCCATCGACGCAAACCTTCTGATAGACGGCTCTGCCAACTACCTGACCTTTGGATCATTCTGGCAAGACATCTTTCAAGTCACACTGAACGGAGACGCCACGTCTTCAACATCAACGCCGGTTAATGTTGCTTTCGATCCGGCTGGTACACATCCTGTTGAGGGTGCTTACCTGTACAAATACGGAGATTATTACTACTTGTTTTACTCCTGGGGAACGTGCTGTGGCTATGACCAGAGTATGCCTGCCGCAGGGGAGGAGTATAAGATTAAGGTTTGTCGGTCGAGCACGCCGACTGGGGGCTTTGTGAGTTTTTTTCTTTTTCTTTTCTTCTTGTTTTCTTTACCTTTGGACTCTGTAAAACGGGTAGCTAATGATGCAGGTCGATGCGAACGGTGTTGCATGCACGGATGGCGGTGGTACCGTCGTTCTTGAAAGTCATGATAATGTCTATGGGCCTGGTGGACAGTATGTGGCATCACCATCTCTACTTGCGTTCATATTGACTAACTTTTATAGGGGTGTCTACACCGACCCGAGCCTTGGCCCTGTACTCTACTACCACTACGTTGATACGACTATCGGGTATGGTGACTCCCAGAAGCTATTCGGATGGAACGTCATCGACTTCTCGAGTGGATGGCCTTCTGTATAAGTGGACCATCTTTTCGGGTGGCAAGAAGCAGTTTTGTACATAGTTCACCTTCTTTAGGGTATAATTTCAGTATTAAGAGCCAATTGACATTATCGTCGGCCAGTTCTCATCCCATCCTAAAATCCTTACCTATTTCATACCTTAAACTCTCAGCATCTGACATTCTTAAAAATTCGTCACCCGGTATTCATATCCTATATTGTAGAGACACAAGTCCATGTTCACCTTGCGTCTCAATGGATACCTGTTTATATATTTTTTTAATAAAATGGGTTCTTAGCGGGTAACCCGTAGGTTTACGGGCATGGGTGTGGGTTTAGGATCTGAACTCGCCGGTTGGGTATACGGTTCCTGACGCTGGACCCAAACCCGACCCGTGTCGAGGTCTACTGAGTAGTAGGCGGTCCCGTTTTCCTTGAGTGCATAGGTCTTGTCCATTCCAACACTGTCATCCTTTAGCATTAGTCTGCATTTTCAAATTCGCATCATAACAGATTCATCCTTGCTGAAGCATGACTCATTCGAAGCTCGGCAACTTGAGACTTGGCATTTCCATTCTCAAAGGGTTCAACCCCTGAAGCTGAAGTTGAACCCCTTCCCTTCTCATACCACTCGTGGCAGTCCGACACCTCAAGATGAAATTCATTTACTACCTAACTTGGTCAAGACACTCATATAGCAAACTAGATTGTGTATTTAGTCTGTAGACTTGGTCTAGTAGTCTATAGGAGTATACAACGATGTAGATGACTCGAGCTCAAACACTTGTGAACTGGTTAGAGTGAGATATATTTATGTTGCGAGTATGGGAAAGCTTGGATCCGGCATTACATGTAGGCTCTGTGCCTTTTCCAGCACCTACCCGGATCGCCACCTTGCAATTGACTTTTCATGCATACAAGCTATTATTAAATCTAGTAAAGAGTTCTCATACCAGGAGCTCTACGAGACCATTACAAGGGAGGCGGAGTTGATGCTGTCGGCCTTCGCCGGTCTTCGGGTACAAGCCAGTCACGAGAATTTCTCGGCCGAGGGAACTCGATCCAGGACCATGGAAATTGGTATTTAGCATCAACTTCATCCAACAACCACGAAAGTCATAGAATTGCCTTTTATAACTATCGATTGGACAATCGCTCACTAACTCATAAAAACTTTATCTCGTCAAGATCAGTCGTTCAGGATGGAAAATAGTGACTCGCGTCCTCATGCAGGATCCCAAAGGAAGAAAAGCCTTTTGAAGTATACAGCAGGTTGGCGGAGAATCGTTAGCAACTTCAGCCCATCGTACGTCAACATCTATATTCCTACTGGAACAATTGTACAGTGGCTGATGAGCTGATTCACAGATGGTTTTCCACGACAATGGGGACAGGCATGGCCGGAATATTGTTCCATCTCATCCCTTTCGAACATGCCGCGCTAGATTACATAGCCATAGTCTTTTTCGTACTGAATGCCTTGTTGTTTCTCACCGTGCTCAGCATGTCAATTCTCCGCTACACTCTTTATCCCGAAATTTGGAAGGTCATGATACAAGACCCAGTTAATTCGTTATTCCTGGCAACTTGTCCCATGGGTTTTGCCACCTTGATCGAGATGTGGGTGTTTCTTTGCGTACCTCACTGGGGAGATTGGGCGAAGACAATGGCCTGGGGATTGTGGATTGTCGATGCGCTCGCGGCGGCGGCGGTCACTGCATCCCTCTCATTTATTCTGTAAGTCTATCCACTGTACTGAAGATTGTCTGTTAATATGAAGCAGTATATCACAAAATTACGTCACATCGCTGGAGCGGATCACCGCACTGCAACTATTGCCGATCGCTGCCACAATCGTCGCGTCCGGGGTTGGGGCCGAGATCGCGGATATTTTGCCTAACGCGCAGCACGCCATGGGAACGGTGATCGTATCTTACGTGCTGTGGGGCATGTCAACGCCCATGGCCATGATGATCTTAGTGATCTATTACCAGCGTTTGGCGGTCCACAAGCTTCCATCGAGGGAAACCATCGTGAGCTGTTTTCTTCCACTAGGGCCACTTGGCTTTGGAGGATTCAGGTTAGTGCAAGCCACCATACAACCCTGAGAGAATGAATCTGACTCCCGAGGTAGTATCTTGTACCTAGGCAAGGTGGCTCGACAGCTCCTCGGCGAGTCTAACGTAATCGACCCCATGGTCGGGCACATAGCATATGTCCTCGGTCTCTTGCTGTCTCTGTTGATGTGGTCTTTCGGACTGATTTGGCTCGTTTTCGCGCTCGCTACGATCTACTACCGATCACCGTTTCCTTTCAACATGGGCTGGTGGGGATTCACTTTCCCGCTTGGGGTATATGCGGCCAATACGATCCTGCTGGGGAAGGAAATGGAGTTAATATTTTTTAAGGTTTGCGGGACGGTAAGCTGCCGCAGAGAATTGTGAGATCGCACAGAAAGAAAACGGGGCTGACAGGTGACAGATCCTCAGCAGCGCGATGATACTACTGTGGCTGGTGGTTGCCACCCGTACTGTGCACGGGGCATGGCATGGGGTTTTATTCCATGCACCGTGCTTGCAAAACTTGAAGGAAAAGATGGATGACAGTCAGAATGACGCGACGAATGATGAAGCATAGGTTAAGCGCCCCAGAACCTTGTTCCGGCTCCGACCCTGATTTTGGCCGATTAGTTCAATTGTAAGCAATCATGCCATCGGGAGCAACTTCTTGTTTCACTCCTAGTCTACTGGATTGACGCCAAATCTGCAGCTAATCACATGGGATACGGGCGATGCCAGGGGCTCACCAATCACATCGGGCACTTAAGTTGAATTCCCGCTAGTATGCAGTATCGGCTACGAAGGGCCAATCCGCAGTTCAATACCGACGCCATCGCCCGTTCAGAATCAATCCGGCAGCCTCGTAGGAACACCCAACTGGGCACTAATACGCGAAATGATACCGCCTCGTTTATTTTGTTTGATTATAACCCACATGACTTCGGCTTGACGACAAGCTCGAGCCGTCTTGCGGCTGAAGTCTTGGTAGCACCTATAGAATCCGGGGTTCCCGCTCTATTCATCCCGTCTGTCCAGTCTTTCAGCCGTGATACTTTGAGAGACAACCATGGTAGGTACATACAACCCACTGCTGTATGTGGACGTTGCTAAATAGAGAAGGATTCAGCAGACTACGAATTTCCATTTCTAGAAGAAGTCTACACTCCTGCCGAGCAACCTAAGATCGAGTAAGTATTTGTCAGGACTTACTGATAACTCGAATACATACTGACCGTGTAGCTTCGTTTTTGTACACGGTCTCAATCCTCGCGGTCGAACCGACCATGCCTTCGAAACATGGACACATCAAAATGGAACCTTCTGGCCACGAGATTACCTCCCTCAAGACATCCCTCAGGCTCGAGTTTTCGTCTATGGCTATAATTCATATGTCACAAACCCCCAGGCGATGTCAAATGCGAGTGTGAAAGACCATGCGAATACATTGTTGAACTTGTTGGACATGGAGCGCAGTCCGCAGGTGGTATGTAGTTTGCCTCTACTTAACTTTGAGACAGGGCTGACTATACACAGAATGCGCGGCCTCCGAAGATCATCTTCATCGGACACAGCTTAGGTGGACTGGTGATCAAACAGGTACGGTTGTCCAGGTGGATCACGCCATGATTCACAGGAGAAAGGACGGAAATGTCAGTTCAGGATGTAATCAACGCTAACATCTCACTAATAGGCTTTATTGAATGCGCAAGAGGACCCCAAGTATACTTCCATCCGGACGGGCACGTACGGACTTGTTTTCTTCGGCACTCCACACCACGGTACCAAAGGCGTTGAACTAGGAAAGATTGCGGCCAAGGTCGCCAAGTTCGTATCCAAGGGCCATGCCACCAACGACCTTCTCGATTGCCTGGAGCACAACTCCTTATTCACAAGACAGATGAGTAGCCGATTCTGCCACCAACTGGAAGACTACCGAGTGATCAGTTTCATCGAGGGAAAGGAGGTTCTATTGGGAGGGGCAGGCCCGGCTTCTATTAGTCATGTGAGCATCTAGACACTGTTTCTTTCGCCGCACTATCTCTATCGCAGGAGGTATGACGCTAACGGTCGCAGTTGGTAGTAGACGAAGAGTCCGCCGTCCTTGGACTCCCTGGGAACCGCGAGACGCGTCTCAAGCTAGATGCCGATCACTCCCAGATGTGCAAGGTTGGCAATCGAGGGGCGATGTACCGGCTTATCAAGGGAAATATCAAACAGATTGCCGACCAGCTGTTGGTCACGGAACAGGGTTATATTCCCCAGCCGTCGCCATCTCCGCGCGCGGGACCACCGTTGCCGCCGCCGCGACATACCAACAGCAGCGCTCCCTATCCTCCTCCCGGCATAGCTTCGCAACAGGCGACACAGCGAGTCATCGGAGCCCTATATAATCCTGTTGACAATGATCCACGGTCGGTTGAAGCGGCCGAGCACAAGAATAAGTGGAAGTGGGACGACGCGCGGAGGGTGGAGTATACCATCTTCCAGGAGCACTTGCGCACTCTCGGTGCAGACCACCATAGCACGTTGCAGGTCGGCTATAATTTGGCAGAGATCGACCTTGAGTCGGGGTATATCGGCAAAGCGGCTGAATGGTGCCAGTGGGTGTCCAACAACAGCCAGCGCGTGTTCGACAAGCGCCATCCACTTACGATGAGAGCCGAAAGTTTGATGGGTGAGATCCTTGTGTCCCAGGGTAAGCAACAGGAAGGAGAGTCCGTGTGTGCCAATGTCCTCGCCCGGCAGCAGATGACGATCGGAGAAGATGATGTCGACACATTGGAGACACGCCGTCGACTGGCGAACGCATATAGCTCGGTTGAGCGACGAGATGAGGGCATTGCTACTGCCAAGAAGCGTACGGAGTCTCTCAAACGATTACTGGGTGAAAATCACATCAAGACGTACGCCTCGGTACTTGACACCATCGAATTGATAGTCGCCAAACTCTCAAGCAACAACAACAACACCGTGATGGCTATGGCCCTGTATCAGACGGGTACGGACGAGATAGTCAATGTTACCCAAGAGGCCTCCCGGGAGCTGAACAACTTGCTGGGCCCTCGGCACCCACTTTCTATTCGCAGTCTCCGGCTGCTTGGTGCGTGTCAGATTTTTGCTTCAGGTGGAATTACAGAGCCATCCGAAACGCTACGACGAGCGCTGGCCACGGCTGAAGAGAACCTCGGCTCTGACAACCCAGAGACCATTCAAATCGTAATTTACATGGGTCTAATGTACGCGAAACAGAGCAACCCATATAGTTACGCTTTCTCCCAGCAAAACCTCGATCTGGCACTGCCTTGGTTTCGACGATATCTGGACTGGGCCCGAAGCAGGGATATTATGAGCAGTCCCGATCCTCAGGCGGTGTTGGGCATGCTGGGCAATATGTACATGGCCAAAAGAGACTATCAACAGGCGCAGAATTACTACGAGCAGCTGGTCAATGCATGTCAGAAGGCAAACATTCCGGTTCCAGCCGACGTGCCGAACATGCTAGAGCTGTGTCGGATGAACACCAGGCTGATGTCGCCTTACAGAAATTCATCGGGCATTGAATCGCTACTTTCCTCCTTCAAACGATTATAGGCAATTTTCATCATACACAATCTGTTGTATTCATTATCCATGCATAGCCGATAGTATAATACATTTCGCTTGACTCAATCATGACTGTCATAGCAAATTCCATCTAGTTCGAGATCTTGGAGGGTACATGTTTTCTAGACAATGTATTGTCAGTTGTGTGTGTCGTAGAAATAGGAAAGGGGAAGCAACACGTACCCAGTCGCAGTCTCGAACTTGTTCCTCGCGGAATCAGTGATGCGTTCATTCGTCTGTCGCACCTTCGGGTTATGGGGGTCGATCTTGCCGTGGCCGTACTTGGTCTCGAGGGAGTCGAGGCCTGTTTGCTCATCAATATTTGTATTTCTTGTCTTGAAAGAACGAAACGGATATACTTACCCCTGTCGACGTAGTCCTCATTCTGGGCACCACCAGCACCGTGCTTGTGTCCACCGCCGAGCTTCGAGGCAAGCTTGTCCATTTTGATGTGTTGTTGGTCTTCTGTGGTTTTGATCTTTGGCTACAAGGAATATGGAATGTCTTAGTGACTGAGAGTGAGGATTTCAAAGTGCAATTGAATGCTATGAGAAAGTCGAACCCAAACACCACAACCCTCCATATTTATAAGTAGACAAACGTCGGGTACGTGCGATATGAGTGATACCAGTGATGTCATCTGAGTAGATCAGTGATGTTTACTGGTTTCTATTCTTGTATCCCTTCACTCAGGTGAGATCTTGGGGGAAAGTAGATTAGGAAGTGATAGTCGCGACTCGGGATGGATATTGGATGGGGTCTACAGGGCTGCGTCGGAGGCTTGATTAAGTTGCGTAATGTGGGGTTTCTCTAACAGGAAATTGCAGGTATATCTAGTCGGGGTTATGATTATGATGGGCGATGATGTTAGAGCGCTGAATGGAATTTAGGTGTATCGCTGATGATGTCATAGGGTGGATAGGGCTGGTCGTCTGAAAAAGGAAATTGATTGTCTGCTCACGGAGACTTCAGTTTGGTATGCTCAGTAGTTTGGCTGTAATACTCACAGTACATGGTTATTTGGCACAGTATTCTTCATTTTGAGGACAGAATAATCGAGAGCGTGTACGAGTGAGTTTTGACAATCTGTCCAAGTTGATGCTGGCACCGTCCCTCGCGACCGACCATATACTGCGAATACCCCTAACATCTCCCCCTTCCAACGTGTGAGAAGTACAGGTGAAATAATGTAGTCGCTCAACGTTCCAAAAAAGGCTTCTGGTAACCGCAGTTCGAACCCACGTACGACATTATGTCTTGTCCTTTTCTACACACCTGCCTAGAGTCCTGTTTTCAAGCCGTTACACTGTTCGCTCGACCCCCACCAGATCTCAAGCACACCTGTTAAACCAACCCCTGACACAGTAGCCTGTGATGCCACTAGAGGAGGAATTCACAAACTGTAGATCAACGTACAATGGCATCCTGAGATGCCCCAGGCAGCGGCCATGTTCGGTCAGCAAGTCATGATAGGATGGCCACGTACAGTATGTCCTACCATCGTTCCACAAGAGAACCCGAGATGCTCGTCATCGATAAGCCACCATTTGAGCAGCCCATCAGCCAACACTGAACCGTATGCGGCAGCGACATAGCGGATTAGACAAGAGAGGAACATTGCTTCCCGAACTTCACACATTCTCCCCCAATGCAGCAGCAGGGTATTCACGAGCTTGATGATGGCATGTCTCAAAACACGTCAATGAGCTTAATAGAGATGTCTGGTTAGTCCTAAACAGCTATCTGTACCCTATGCCGTCTAACACATCCAAGAAACCCGATATATTCTTGCGTTGCGCCTGTTACTCTGAGCGGGCTATAACAATAGAAAGATGAATTCACTTGTGGTCCCTCTGGCATGCTCAAACGGAGAAACAGAGGCGATCTCAAAAACTAAGAAAAGAAGGACGCTGATATGTGGTGAATGAATACGGCCGAACCTTCTATTCAATGTTCAAAACTACCAATCGAGCCGCGGAAGCATGTGCGGCAAGAACGAACAAATATGTACCTTCGTACCTTCTACTTTGGAGTGCATAGCCTGCACAGAGTGTTTGCCTTGCACGGAAAGCATGCCCAACTGTTTATCTCTCCTCTCTTTAGACCTTCAACCGAACCCACAGCATTTCTATCTTACTCACAGTCCACCCGTGGTCTTCAACTCTGCATATACCCTTTGCCGTCACATACGATCGCGTCTCCAAGGTTATTTGAGTATATCCTTCAGCAGCTACGACCTAGTATCGAACCTCTTACGCATGATCAATTCACCTCTTTCATAAATAACAAGATTCTCACAGAAGGTGAGACAGCTGAGTGTTGGCAATGTCAGGCACTGATAGTCTTAGTGATGTGCGAATTGCTCTGTGAACATTATAGAGGCCGAACCGGCTGCGGCCATATGTTCGTCTACGCCATTCAGCGGTGCAGTGCTTCTTTTATGCGTCCCGATCAATCTCGCTGTGTGCCCCCGAGTGGAAGGCTTCGCGACCTTCCTCGAGTTGTCGACGCCCAAGATGATTACAAGGACGGTTCTTGTCGAGTATGTCTCGGTGAGACTCCTCCCAGCTCAGAGGGATCCGAATCTGGCTGGGTTGTATAATTAGCACGCCTAAGGCTGCTAGCATGTCGTTAAGTCTCTTGTTATCAACAAGGCTACCGTTCACTACGCTTGTTTCAGCGCCCAAGATGCACGACCATTCTCCTGGTTACTTTATACTTACACTGGCCAAGGCCTGAATTTGTCAATCGTGTTTATATCGGGCTTCAACCAGGTGTACCACATGCTGCTGTGCTTTGGATGCTACCTATCAACAGCTCAATAAATGAAAGTACCCTACACAGCGCGGTGGTTTGTGCGACCCCTGGCCATGGACTCGATGGATGTGGCTCTCAGTGGACGAATAGAGGCCTGCTTATACCCCACATGACCCTGCCCCTTGCGCTTATGCAGCCTAACATACAGACCTTAGTCTGTATATGTTCAGGTTCTAGACGTTGAAACAAAGAAAATGGCCCCGGAGGCTGAGTTGCTGCAACCCTTTGAAAAGCCCAGCTATGGAGGTTTAATATGGATGGACATGGTATTTTGCGCTTGTGGGATGGTTTATCTCCTGGTGTTACCTCTGGTGATTCTTTTCGGTGTGATTAGGTATTCTTTACATTATGCGTTGCGTTGCGGATGACATGGCACAATCCTGGCAGTTCTTCCCCTCACACATTCAAGTACAGCAGCATCAACGTTCTGCAAGGCTATAAGCAGGAAATATATACCACATTCGTCCCAGTGGAGAGCTACCTCGTACCCAACTATAACATGTAAATCATTGTGGATGAACCAAGGGATCCCTCGCTCCTAAGCTGGTATTTACAACGCAACCTACACATAGGAAACATGCCCCTGCGTAACCGATCGATGACTGTAACTACAACGCCTTAGCTCAAGCCACAACACTGCCCAATCCAACTAAGCCAGCCTCTCGACTTTGGAGTATCCGAAACAGCTCCCAGCTTTTCATCCACCATCACATATTCCTCTTCCTCCTCCTCCGGATCATCACGGTAATACTTGTATCGAACGGCGGCGATCGAGACAACCTCCAAGCTAAAGTCTCCTTCCTGCACCCCGAAGAAACTATACGCAGTTAATACCACGCAGACAATACCGTGTAGCTAGAAGACACTTACCTGCGTATCATGAAACTGATCTGCTTCACCGCAGTCAAATCCAGCGGCTTGACATCCTCCTGCTCCTTCCCGCGATACGTAGGCTTAAAATCAGCCCATTTAATGAAAATCCTTTTCTCATCACGCGCATGGAAATCAAATTCCCAGCTCAGGGTACTCTCCTGTCTTCCATCCGGACGCTTCGGCGCAGTCTCATCCTTCAGCGTGATGGTATACAATTTATCATCCCCGCCGGCAATATGCACTTCCAACCCGTCGTAGCCAGAGAGATCCCAGCTTCTATCTTCGTCTGTCGTCCGCTGCGATGCGAACCCCGCTCCGCCGAGCGTGGTGATGTCGAGGTTTCCGTGGAATCGGGCCACCAGAGAAGAGGGGGAGCAGCTCATGTGCGAGTGCGACGATCCGCCACGCACGCGATCGTCAGTCGAGGTCCAGTCGGAGGCGTGCCATGCTCTGTTCTTCCTGTGAGTGGATCGGATGGGAAACTGGTTGGGGTGATGATTCAACTCACCTGGGGCCCCCAAAAAGGGGTAGTCTTGATACTTTCGAGTCCATTTTGACAAAGCTGATGTGCGTTGTTGGAAGTTGGATTGCTGCTGAGATGCGGAGTAGGGTCTGGGCCTGATCCTGTGACGTCAGGTGCTGGGCTATCGGCGCTAGTCTGCTTTGGGAACTGGTCCCGATTGGGAAGGTTGAGTTTGAGCCTGGGATTTTGAAGGCTGCCACTCATCTATCTTTGTCACAGCGAAATCTGTTGAATATTAGATTATACATAATTTGTTCAAGAAGTCCAATTGGTACATTTGGAGTTATATCAATGCGCGATCAGGACTACAATTCTTGTACGATGGAATCGGTCGAGATCCATGAAGGTTAGTTGAGACGTGGACGATATCAGGCTAACGAAGCCTAAATGAAAGCATGAACAACCAAGACCCAATACAATACGTCGAGTGCATCCTACAACCATCGAATGACTAGGTGGCTCTTCTAGACTCTCGCCGGGGTTTAGATACAGGAATCAAAGGCTATCACGCCCTACGTCTGGTTGACTGCGCTTATAGATAAATCCCAAGAGTTCTGTATATTCACGGTTCTTAGGAAGTTCACATCAGCACAACGTACACCCTGAAAGATAAGTAAAAAATATATTCCCACTGGGATCGAATGATCGAACTGTACAAATACCATTTGGGTTACAATTTATACACAGACTGCCGCCGCCAGAAGTGACCTAATCCCAGAAGAGCATCCCTCAGAAAGACCCTGATTTATACAACGTTATGGTCAATCATACTCTGCACCGCATCCGTCACGCTTTTCTCCAAGTCAATATACTCCCACCGGCCCTCGCTTGTTCCCTTCGACAAGACATCCAAGCTAACCCGCATATCCCAACCCGTCGGATGCACACCATCCGGTAGAACCTGCTCGGGCTTACCCTCCGGGACCCTTTCCTTCAGTGCCAGGAAATGCTTTCGAATAATGTTAACGACCAACTGCGGCGTGATTAAGCCAGAGATGAGCAAGATCCGCTTGCCCCCAGCAGCAGGGTTGGTCAAGGCATCAACATGGCTTCGCGCGACGTCGCGAACATCGACCTGGAGCTTCTCAGTTCCCATACTAAATCATTCGAAATAGGACAAGTAGAACACACGAAATGATAGAACGGAAATCGCACATCCTCGACTTTCGGGTTGGTACCGTCGATGAAGCTAGCGATCGCGAAATGATTAGTCTCGTTAATGGAGCCGGGACCGGAGATTGGGTGAATCATAGGACCCGTGATGATGTCTGGATTGATCACGGCCAGGTCGAAGGCGGGCTTGTTCGTCTTCATGAACTTCCACGCTGCGTCTTCAGCTTGCGTCTTGGAAACGTTGTAGCCTAGGACGGTGTCCTGTCGCTCGATGGCTTGTGTCGCGGTGACCTAGATTGGGTAAGTTGTTGGTCTTAACTTGGGAGTTAATAAGCCTGATGATATACCGGGTTCCAGTCCTGTTCAGTGTAAGGGCGTCCTTCGCGACTCATGTCCTCGAAGGAGTTGAGGACAGATACTGCACTCCCTAGCAGGACGAACCGTTTGAGTGCTGTTCCTCCGTGGCGGTGGGCACTCTCGAGAATTTGCGTCGTTCTGTACATATAATCAGTTACCCTTGCCTCGATTATGAGATGGAACAGCAATAGCTTACCCCATCACGGCAGGCTCGATCATCTCCTTCTGAATATCCTTGACATTGAAGTTCAGCGGAGACGCAGTATGGATAATATAATTAAAAGGGACCTTTATGTCCTCGAACAGCGCATTGAATGGCCCCTGGGAGGTGAAATCCGACACAATTACAAAGTCGATCTTGCCTTTCCACGACGGGTGGGTTTTGAGAATATCGTCCGCCTTTTTCTGGGAGCGCACGGTGGCGGTCACGGCGTATCCACGCTATGTCGGTTAACTTGTCTAATTGTACACGAGCAATGCGGGAAGATGTACCTCAAGCAAGATAGCCAGGATGTGGGAGGCCACGAATCCGTTTGCGCCCGTTAGTAGCACATGTTCGCCACTTCCTGGATATGACATATTGGACATAGGCATAAGAAGATATCAGGGCTCCTTCGCAACTAGTAGTATGTGGCTCTGTCGGTGAAGAACCTATACGTTGTCCAATATACGTGGATGAAATGCACAATCAATACCTAGCTCTCTTCGTATGTAACTATCGTGCCGGGCAGAATGAATTTATGTGTAGTTTAAGGTTATATGGTTAAACCCCGCCAAATCCCGAACACTAGATGCTGACGTAGTTCTAGTCATCTCATAACGTGGTACAGCTTTTGGCGCCTGACGTTGACTTCATCCAGGAAGATAGAATACGTGGGTTATGCCCTAGGGCGTGCGGCGGGGCATCTGGACCTCGTGTCTATTACAGCATTTGATCATAACCCACCAATCATCATTCTTGTTTCACAGCTTATTGCCGTTTAAAGTTAATACCATCTGTAGCTCATATATATACCGGTATCGGTACGGGGAACTGTGTGAACATCTGTGGTGCTCCCAAGGCAACACCTTGCATAAGCAAAATAATAGTACACCACACAATCAACTAAAGCAGCTGAGACACCATTTGCATTAGGAAGTAATAGTGCATGTAAGACTTGTAACTAGATGTATGCTCACAGAAATCCAGGTTCTTTCCAAAGTTAGACAGCAAAGGCAAGTTCAAGTATCTGGAAGTTGCTTCCTCTTGCGCTTTCATATAGCCTAGCCATCCCACTCACGGCTACTCATGGGTTGTATGTAAGACAAATGCAAAGAACAAAAGGACAAACGAAAAGACAGAAAGAGGCCAAGGGAAAAACAGGGATAGAAAGAAGCCTCAAGTAGCCTTGCCCCACGACATTTGGAAATGTAGTTCTCATCGCGTAATTAGGCTCGAATGTCGTTAATGAGAACATATATTGAGATATGTACAGCAAAAGGCCGAACCGACACCGCAAAGTGATCAATTGCACGAAGCGGAGAATGATGATGAAAGGTATCGGCAATATGTCTACAAAAGTATCATTAGCGAGTTTCAACTGCACATTACACACCCAGGCGAAGGAAACAAAGAAAATTCAAGGAATAACCTTCAATAAAACTCTCTTCAAGTCATCTACATACCATTCTCACTCATTCATGAGAGCTCCCGTCATGGCAATATTCGGTGTATTTGTATAGTCGTATTGTGGCCAGCCAACATGAGGATAATACGGTGGCCACCAAGGCGGATAGTTGCCTCCATGACCATAATGGTAGTCGATATAAGGTATAGGAAACACCACGGGGTAAGGAGGAGACCACGGTAAAGGAACGATCGCTTGGGGAAGCCATAGGGCAACGTTTGCCCCTATGCATTGCGTCCAGCAACATCGTGTATTGTTATGAGTTGATCGGCCATATACCCTACGTTGACCACGGGCGCGGTTCCTATACTTTATAAAGCGATGATTCGCTTGGCAATTAATACAAACACGAATGTGCCTTCCAGAGGCTAATTTGGCCCGAGACCCAAGCACTTGACCGCTAGCGAAATGGGTGTAATGGAGGAGATGGAGGCAGCAACTGCAGGCAAAGTACTCTTCGTATCTGCAGAAGTCAGTCTCATGGCGCTAGGACAACATATACTCATTGCATTAGCCAGGACCTACCCGGGCCATATTTCCATATCACAAAGGTATTTTCTTCTCAGTGTTAATGAGGAGGGAGGTCGTGTGGGAATCAAGGAGCGAAAGTATTTGTTTGTCTGCGAAAGTGATAATCTGGAGGGATAGTCGAGGTATTTGGTGATTATCAGGTGCAGCTCTGTCGGTAGAACAAGGAGTGATGGGTTTGGTGATTCTGTCATCGCGCGAGGAGAGAATGTTCACAAGGATGAGGAATCGGAGGAAGTTTGGTCGGTTTATATAGTTAAGGATAACGAAAATTAGAACGAAAGATCGGTCATGCCTAATGTGCCAATACAAGGCGTCAGTGTTGCTTGTTGGTATACGTATATATCAATGTAGTAATATGCTATAACTTAGGTGAATGTCAAAGCTCCCAAGGGTTTAGGAAGCAAAGTATTGAGGCCGATTCGTAGGCGGAGAGCAGTAACTCAAAGTAAAGCCCTGTGAGGGAAACGGCCATGCTCGTTCTTTCCTTTGATGTGTAAATGCTATTTGATGATTAGACAATTTATGTATACTGATATTTCCAAGATCAGTCCTTGACGTCGCCCGATAATGGTCTGTTGGTGTTACACTTTAATGCTTTCATCCCAGCCGCAGATAATTCAGCACAATCGACTTATGCCAGCTTTCACGACAAGCTAGACAGATTACAGAAGTCCAGGAGGTTAGGACAAGCCAACAAGTGGCAATAATGTGTTTGTATATCCCATTATCCAGTAAACAGCGATCGCTGACTGAGTAGATAATTAAGGGACTATCAAAAGGTAGTAAAAGGTCAAACTGCCTGTAGGATGAATCGAACTGTGTCCGAACAATATTCTCGCCTCAACAGGATACGAATGGAAATCACTTCGAGACTAACAAATGCCTTTCTTCATACGTAAAGGGAGGGAGTTGAGCTGCCACACGTTCATATCCCTTTCACGCGTAAACCGCTCTTGGAGGTCCGTAAAGACGCCAATGTTTCTCCATCCATTGTCTACAATCGGCACTGGGTAGCGATACGCCGACACTAAAGCAGTACCGGATACGCCTGCGTGTTTCGCGTCCGGTTCTTGTTATGGAGTTAGGTAGGTTGGGGCCGCTAGTACTAGGGAAGTGTGGCTGCCCTGGGCCATCGAAGTAGAGCAATTTATCTTCCCAAAAGTCATCAAAATGGAGATACCGCAGCCTTCTCGTGTTCAATGATAGATATTCGAAAATGGGTTGAAAGGTACCCGAGTCCAGGCGTATCTGTTCCATAGTCAGGCTGCAGAGACGTCGGCGACGGAGGAAATAATGCAGCTTCTCCTCAGATGTGTAGATTCCTTGCAGTGTGCACTGCTTCAAGCGCGCAATCGGGCAGGTGTCCGCGATTCGATTGAAAAAATGCTGCTCTTCAATCTGTGCCTGTGTCAAGTTGACCAGGTCCAGGTTGTACCAGTGCAACTGAAGGGATTCGAGCTTAGGGCACATGTTCAACAAGCAGGTTATAGCCTGGGCGTTTCCTCGACCAATCGCAACAGGGAGCATACGGGCGCTCGGTTGTCTCTTCGTTTGTTGATGCGACAGGCTTAGTGATATGGCCTTGGTATTCTTCAGACATTCAGACATGTTCACCCTCTTGCACACTTTCGCAATCTCACCACACGCCAAGCTGCAGCGGTCGATACTGCAAAATATGTCCAATGCTACCACGTGCAATTTGCTCCTGCCAAGGGCTACCGTACTGACCCGAAAGAGCTTGGCTGCAGCATCCCACACGCTCTTCCAGGGTGCTTCGGCATTTCCCTCTGTTTCGATTGTGAGAGTCAGTGATTCTAGAAGTCCACGTGCAGAGTTGATGCGCAGGTTCGTCAAAGCCTGTCGCAAAAGGGCTACGGCTCGTTGCTCAGCTAAAGTAGGGGCATCGCCCGCTGGCACGTCCATCACTGTCAAATGCTGGAGGCAGCATCCCAGCCATCCTTGTTGTGTCACGGCGACAAACGCCTGGAGAGATTCTTCTGTCAGCTTGATCTTCTTTCGATAGAAGTTGCGTCTAAATGAAATACAGGATGTTCTGTGGGCCATCGCTCGTGAGGTTAGTCGAAGATTGCACTTGTCGTGCAACTCAAGGAAAGACACTAAGTCCTCCATTAACTCCAGTGGGAGAGTAACAAGAGCTGCACAGTTCATACTTGCGCCAGTCTAGTATATCACATAGTATGAATCTATATGCTTAGTGAAGATGAGGCGATGTTCGAGTAGATCTTTTCAACCAAAAGTGAAGATATAAGACGGGAGGGGTAACAAGGCATTCTCAGAGGCGAACCAATTATCTTCATTGTGTGCCTGGGCTGCTTGTATCTGTTGGCTAAAGGAAGACGCCATCACTGTGGACACTGCACGTGATAACGCCACTGTTGTTGTCTTTCGTGCATCTCTATGTTGTGTGGTGCAGAGTTATGTAGGTCACAATTCCAGCAGGATGACAAGCATCTTAGCGTGCTAACTGGATGCCCAGCAATTTCCTGTGCTATTATACCTATTCCTTGGTCCATGTAAGGTCTTTTTAATACAGAATGGGCGGATATATGTGTCATCTTGATATTTCTCTCCTGAGAGACCTTGGCCTCGTTGCTGTATACCGGGAAGAGCTACTTTCCTGCAGCTAGTATTAGGCATCTCTAGGGGAAGCGTTCATTATCTCTTCTGCACTGACACACGGCACATCGATAGATATTCGGTAGAGAAAAAGGCACGTTCCTAAACCCTCAAGACTGGCTTGGTGAGTGAAAAGGAATATTAATGGAGTGAAGGACCAGACTCACCTCTAAGCAGCAGAGTGGTACTACTAGGCGCATGATGTCCTACGTACAACACCCATGCTCAGTACATCCTCAGTATCTGGCGAGTTGAGATATCTGGATGAAGTGCATACACACAGTTTGCGACACGACATTTACAGTCTACTGATACATCGTCAGAAGGAAAAGAGCGGGTACACTTTTATCACACACCTGTGATGGATGTTCTAGGGTGCTAACGAGATGATTCACCATCAATACTTTCCTGGAGAGTCCCTCCATTTTTAAAAAGTATGCTACAAGGAAATGTAGGTCTATGTAGGGTATCAGGTACTCTGCGAATATGGTCCAGAAGCGCCCTGGCATCCAGTTGGGGGCATATATAAATTCCGTGCTCTTGCTGCGGCTCAAGGTAGTACGAAGTCATTTTCAAATTGCCATGTAGCAGGTATAGCAACAAAGGAAAAAAACCTCTTCGCCATCAAATATGAATCTAATGAGGTTTAGTTGATAAGCATAGGTATCATTCGAATACATGTTGAGCAGATTGGCTCATCTGGATCATGTGAGAGGAACTTTCGTTCTTGGCTGAGAGACTATAACGTGAAGTGACCAAGCCTTAGTGCTCCATAAATTCCTTTCGGCTTTTTCTTTGTTTCTGTTTCATTTCACGTTTTATTTTTCCATCCACTTTTAGATTAAAGCGACCCATCGTACTGCGACCATTCGTGCCCCGTGTGGCTGTTTTTTTCAAGAATTTCAATACGAGTACGATTCCGGCATTTAGGTGGAGGCTTGTCTTGCCAGCCCTACCCAGACATCAAAGACATCGGAACCCAGCACATTCCCGACAGCGTCATCTTATTGGATTGATCGTCTCTGAACAATAGTAAGATTGCGGCTCAGCTTGCGTTACCATGATTACTGTACATGAAGCAAAATAATCCCTCCGCTGATGGCCCCACACTAGAGAAGGACGAACGGTGAGTTCAGCCTCACTGACACAACTATGGCCAGGACTAGTGTAATAATACTCCTTCTAAGTCAACAAAATTGTGGGCAATGTCAGTCCTAGGTCCTATGAAGATTTCCGATGGTCAAACGCCCGAAGTATTGCATAGCAAAAGAAAAGTGTCAGAGGAGACGGTCCTATTTTTGCGGCGGGTTTAGCGGCCCAAATGGGAAGCGTGATGAGTTTGCTGAGACGCTATTGAGACGCTAGCCCTACAAATGTCGGTCTGTCTCTAGTCAGCTTCCCAGTGGCTTGGCTTGGGCTAACAGCAGCTCTGATTTGCCGGGATGATCCTTGAAGTATGTTTCGGGTTGTCATTTCAGTTTGATTAAACATGCAAGGGGGCTGGAAAGTCACAATCATAATTCAGGTACTTCACTGTAGGAAAGTGGTGTGGGGTAAAAAAGGCATCCAGCAGAGGTATCGAAAATAAAAAATAATAATGAAGAAATCAAGATCATAAAACTAATAGTAATGAGTACAATCGGAGGTATAATGACTGCCGCCTAAAGCCAGTCGAAGGACTAGTTGGTTACTGTGTAGAAGATCAGTTGCATAATTTCAAGATTATGCAGGCATAAAAGAAACAAACAAACAAACAAACAGAAGATGATGCGCAGAGTGTTTGTTTGTACAGACGTCATAACTTTGTCTCCGTCAGACATGTCACATGACGGGCGAAGACCTCGAGACATTTCTTGGAGCCAGTCTTCTTTCTCGAAGCTTTTCTCAGCCACTTCGAACATCTGAATGTCAACGGCTGCCAAGAACCAGGAAATGAGAGACAGGGGCCTTTATGATGCTGCCTAAATCAACAAGTGGCAGTGCGACAAGGCACAGTCATCTCGAACAGCGACCATGGTGGATGACTCTGCGCCAAGGTGACATTCCGAGAGCGAATGCAACGGCGAAGAACCATTAAACGCACTGAAAAGTGCTGCCTAATCAGCCCTATTCGACTGCCGGAATCCGAAGGGGAAGATGATTGGCAGGGGACGCTCCACTAGAACTGCTGGAATGGAGACGCTGAATTCCACAGACTTCCGGTTGGTCCACGCCACATGTGGTACAATCCAAAGAATGGGGCCTCATCGCTGACCGTCCGTCATTATATTACTCCACGGCGGTATCCTTCTGTGCTGCCTTTTGGACGCCATTCCCTGTCTTTCCCTCCGTTTCCTATCCACTGCTACCACTATGAAGGTCGCCCTGCTCACCTTAGCAGCGGGCTTGGCCAATGCCGCCTCGATCGCCGTCACTCCACGGGCGTTCCCCAATGCTCCTAATGAATATGCTCCCGCCAATGTTTCCTGTCCGTCCACTCGCCCCAGTATCCGCAGTGCCGCTGCGCTGTCGACCAATGAGCGAGACTGGTTGCAAGTGCGTCGGAATGAGACCCTTCAGCCCATGAAGGATTTGCTCGGCCGGCTCAATCTGAGCTCCTTTGATGCCTCTGGGTACATTGATCGTCATAAAAACAATGCATCAAACATTCCAAACGTAGCCATTGCCGTTTCGGGTGGTGGCTATCGCGCTTTGACCAATGGCGCCGGTGCTATCAAGCATTCGATAGCCGTACCTCCAACTCCACAGCCCGTGGACAACTCGGAGGCCTCCTGCAGTCCGCCACTTATCTATCGGGCCTGAGTGGTGGTGGATGGCTCGTGGGCTCCGTGTACATCAATAACTTCACCACGATCGGGGACTTGCAGGCCAGCGACAAGGTCTGGGATTTCAAGAACTCGATCCTGGAAGGTCCTGATGTGAAACATTTCCAACTGATCAACACGGCCGCCTACTGGAAGGATCTGTACGATGCTGTGAAGGACAAGAAAAACGCCGGGTTCAATACGTCGTTGACCGACTACTGGGGCCGCGCTCTGTCCTATCAGTTCATCAATGCGACCACCGACGATGGTGGTCCCAGTTATACATGGTCGTCGATTGCCCTGGCCGACGATTTCAAGAAGGGTAAGATGCCCATGCCTATCCTCGTCGCCGATGGCCGCAACCCGGGCGAAATACTTATTGGAAGCAACTCAACCGTGTATGAATTCAATCCATGGGAGTTTGGCTCTTTTGATCCGTCTGTATACGGCTTTGCCCCATTGGAGTATCTCGGATCAAATTTCGAGAACGGTGAACTCCCCAAGGGGGAAAAGTGCGTGCGCGGCTTTGACAATGCGGGTTTCGTTATGGGAACCAGCTCGTCCCTGTTCAACCAGTTCATCCTGCGTCTGAATGGCACCGATATCCCTGATTTCCTCAAGGAGGCTATTGCCGACGTCTTGGAGCATCTGGGTGAGAAGGATGACGATATTGCAGTCTATGCACCCAACCCCTTCTACAAATACCGCAACTCGACAGCGGCATATTCGTCGACCCCAGAGCTGGACGTGGTCGACGGAGGCGAAGATGGACAGAACGTGCCTCTACACCCATTGATCCAGCCCACCCGCAACGTGGATGTGATCTTTGCCGTGGATTCATCCGCTGATACGGAGCATAGCTGGCCCAACGGGTCCTCTCTGATCTATACCTATGAACGTAGTTTGAATACTACGGGTATCGCCAACGGGACCTCCTTCCCTGCAGTGCCCGATGTCAACACATTCCTCAACCTCGGCTTGAACAAACGCCCAACCTTCTTCGGATGCGACTCGTCCAACACCAGCAGCCCGACCCCGTTGATCGTCTACCTGCCCAACGCCCCTTACACCGCGGAGTCCAACACCTCGACCTTCCAGCTGGCGTATAAAGACCAGCAACGCGACGATATCATCTTGAACGGCTACAACGTCGTGACCCAGGGCAATGCCAGTACCGACGCGAACTGGCCGTCATGCGTTGGGTGTGCCATTCTCCAGCGATCAACGGAACGTACGAACACTAAGCTGCCCGATATCTGCAATACTTGCTTCCAGAAATACTGCTGGGACGGCAAGACCAACTCCACCACGCCGGCGCCCTATGAACCGGAGCTGCTCATGGCGTCGTCAACTTCCGGGGCGTCAAAGGGTCAGCTGAATCGCACAGCTGCAGTTATCGCGTTCGCGGTCATGTTCTTTATGACTATCTAAATGTCCGTGCCTTTTTCTGGGATACGTTATGCCTTGGCGTAGTATGCCTTATGAATGCTTCCACTGATTTATTATCTGCTATCGCAAAATTCTGAATATTCCCTCCTTGCATTGACTGTGTTTACTAGCGTATGTCGAATTGAGTGTACCCTAAATACATACCGTGGCGATTGCTCTGTCGTTAATCCGAGAATATACCTCAAGTCATAATTATCTGTGTATACTATTTCCTCATGGTTGGTTTATATCGAGTAATGTAATTACCGTCACCTCATCCACAATTGGAATGATGCGATACGGCACTAGACCCGGCCGGGAAAATGACAATACGGTCGGCTGTGGCCATAAAACCGGAGACACGATGGCATTAAACTTCATCTTTTCTCCAGTATCATTGATCGCAAAATAAGCACAGAGTTGCATACCATGGCTACAAATACATCTTCATTTACTACCATCCCCGTATTGGATTACTCCCTCTCCACGTCGTCGACGAGCAAGTCGCAGTTCCTATCCGACCTTCGGAATGCACTGATCAATGTGGGGTTCTTCTATCTGATCAACGCACCCATTGCCCCTCGAGTCCAGCAGGATGTAGTGGATAAATGCAAGGAAATCTTCGATCTACCGTTAGAGAAGAAGGTCGAGATCGAAATGGTGAACAGTAAACATTTTCTGGGCTACTCTCGACTGGGGGCAGAGATCACTGCGCGCGAACAGGACTATCGGGAACAGTTCGACGTATGCTACTCTAAGATATATATTCCGCTGCAAGATGCTAACGACACCACGAGTAGTTCGCCACAGAGTTGCCAACTCCGGGGCCTGATGAACCACTCTATCGAAATATTCGAGGCCCTAACCAGGTGACTACTACGAATACGCATTACTTGTTTCTTTCAGAACACATACTAACCCTCCCAGTGGCCCGATGAAAGTGCAATTCCTGGCTTCCGCCAGGCCATCGAGGCCTATCTCGCGGAGATCAGCCCACTATCAGATGCATTTCGGGGACTCATTTCAGAGGCACTCGATCTGCCACCAACCGCGTTAGATCCGTACTTTGACGACCCGCAGCAACTGAAGTTGAAATTGGTCAAATATCCACCACCGCCCGTGTCCTCGACCGAGGCAGAGGTTCAAGGCGTAGGCCCTCATAAGGATTCGGAATTCCTGACGTTTCTGCTCCAAGCATCGCCCCACTCCGGATTAGAAGTGCAGAATAAATCGGGCGATTGGATCTCGGCAGCGCCGGTGGAGCATTCCTTGGTGGTGAACATCGGGCGCGCGTTGGAAGCCATCACAGGGGGCGTGTGCACAGCGACCACCCATCGGGTCTCCCTCGCGCCCCGGAATTTTATCGATCAGACGGGCGCGTCTCTCGGGCCGCGGTTCTCCATCCCTGTGTTCCTGGGAATGGGCCTCGATCTCTCTGCTGAGAAAATTACCCTGCAGATACCACAGCATATCCGGGATCTGATACAGGATGACAAGGTACGATCGGATGCGGAGGCTACGTTTAATCGCATCTTCAGCGGCCGGACAGGCGAGGGAACGCTCCTCCACCGGGTGATCAGCCACCAGGATGTGGGTCGGAGATGGTATCCCGACCTCTTGGATTATGCTCTGAGACAATACGAGAAACAGTAGCGATCGGGAAAATGTACACAAGACAGCATAAACCCCTCCAGTGTGTGATGTTAGCGGTATTTATGTAGAGCATAACGGCAAACTGCCGCGTATCTGATTTCTAAAGGGCCTTGCAGCGTCTTGGCAGTCGCTGGCCGCGATCGGCAAAACCACTCCAATCAGAATCCAGATGGCTGAGGATACCCCAGACATCAGGAGACCGAACGAGAGAGAGGTTGGTCGTTGCCTAGCGACTGAAAAAGCCCATGTGGGGTGATGATGGCGTTTGAAGCAATTGTTCTTGCGATGACCCCCGGAGCGTCGCGGAAACCCGACGGGGCAGTTCCCGTGCGCATAAGCCCTCGTTCAGTCGCGATTACGGACCCTCAAGACGATCGCTGACACTTGGGCATCGTTTGTCGGAGTGTTGTGACGTATACAAACCAACAGAAAGGGTCTCCCATGAGGTCCAAGTGGGTTCGTATCACCGGGAGAACGATGCAAGGCTGAGAATCAGGTCAGGCCCCTGCGGCTTACTACGCTGGTCATCCCGAAGCGAAGGGACTTCTGACAGGTTGAGATCCTCCGCGGATCTGCAGATGCCAGCATTGCCTCCCAACAATCACCAATCATGGGGGGTGATGCGTCCAAAAAACCCTTCACACCGACGGGGCCAAGACGCTTAGCCCTTCCCCCACCTGGCCCGGGTCTGGACGTGTGTGGCATCATACGTAGGTGCAAACGTAAGCTCTCGTGGCTGTTGTCTCTGAGCTGCAGAAGGTCCGGCTATAAGTAGCACATATGGTACCTTCACTTCCCGTTGCCCCAGATATCGATCACCCATAATTAATCTCTGCCTGAAAATTAGATCAGTCCTCCACAATGCAGATCAAGTCGTCCACCGTTCTCGTCGCCCTTTTGGGCTCCTCCATGGCCCAGGCCGCCAACATCCAGCAGAGACAGGAGCAATCGACCGACTTGGGCGGTGCCACTCCCACTGACACCGGCTCAGCCTCTGCCACTGGTACCGCGGAGACTGGCTCAGTCACTCTCCCATACTTCACCGAGACCAGCCAGTCGGGTACTGCGACTGGATCTGAAACTGCTACCGGCACTGGATCTGCCACCGGCACTGAATCTACCACTGGATCATCGTCTCCTACCGGATCGTCCAGTGGATCCGAATCTACCTCGGGCTCGGCTACTCCCACGAACGGATCGTCGTCGGCCACCGAGTCCGGATCGACCACTTCGACTTCGACTTCTACCACCACCGAGGCCTCCACTAGGAGTGCAGGCGAGACCAGCAGCTCGAAGACCGGTTCCTCCACCTCATCATCGGCTTCGCCCTCCTCGACCGACTCGGGTGCATCCTCGACCTTGCCTCAGGGTTGGGCCACATGGATGCTCCCCTTCGTTTTGGGTGCTTTCCTGTGAGATCGTTTCTTGATTGAATGGTGTGATATGCTTAATGAATATGAGAAGGGATTTGGATTTGGTATATGATCGGCTTGTGTTTTATCGGACGGTGAACATCGTTCCCTGTGTACCTTCGCTCAACCATAATGATGCTTTCGTTAGCTATTTATCTCTACGGCTGTGCAGATAGTTAGATGCACTACATCTAATCATGTGGACCTTTGCGATAATGCGAGACGGTTTAATTGGTAATACTGCTATCTCCCCGCAGTTCTCCTCGTAAAAGGGCGAGCCCTGAGCGCGATCAAGCCTCCTGCCTGACCACAATCCAGTAGCGCGTTGACAAGAACACACGGGGTGCATATTATCTTTGTCTCAATACGGTGTTCGGCAAATCAGTCCAAATGTGGAGATTTATTCACTCCTTCGTGTGCTGGTGGAAATTGGCTGAAGACTATTCTCCCTAAGAATAACCTCGTATTTTTCCGGCTGAGCCTCAGCCATGTCGTGTTCGAGCCAACCACAGTGTTTCCCTCCTAACGATCTTCCTCATTTAAGGTTCTGCTAACAGATAGTAGGGCCTCAACACGATCACCGCCATGATCACCGGTCTGGGCGGATTGAATATCTGAGGCTATGTGCCCAAGCCTGGCACGGGATGGAAAGCATGGACTCAGCCTTGCAGACCGGCTGGTCCTTATTATCCTCTGAGCGCCCGGTAGGGTCGCAGACAATTCACCAGTTCTTTCTGATCACAACCTCATTCACACAATGGCACCAAGACGTGGCGGCGGCTCCTTCAGTGGGGGTAGCTCCAGCTCTTCCAGCTCCAGCAAATGCAGTGGCTCTGCATTTAGCACACAAGTAACTCAAATCTCCATCGCGTTCCATGCGCTGTTCTTCCTTGTCTTCTGTGGGCTGTTTTGCGTCGCGGCCTTCAAACTTATCCGGAGCAAGCAGAAAGGAGTAGCCCTACGACGATGGTTCCCTCTCGGCCTCTCAATCACCTTCATGGTCGTGTGAGTCCTGACCCCGTAACCCTGATAGCAGACCAATCCCGACTAACGACATGCAGTGGCGTCGCCTTCTTAATCGTCCTCTTCACGCTCCTCGAATGCGACATCGCATCGGTTACCGTGTACCAGCTCGCCGGCCTTGCGCCAAGTTGGCTTATACCCGTGGCACACTTCCTGCTCATTGCCGTGATCATGATCCCCATCTGCAAGCGCCTGGTTCAGGGCAACAGGAAAATCGCAAAGATGGTCACCACCGTGCATACAGGTTATATCGTGGTGCTTGGAATAGTCCTCCTCTGCTACCTAGCCATCTACACTCATCTCGTTGACGCAGCATATCGCACCGGTGCCCGGGTAGATCTCAGCGGGCTACGACTTCATCAGAGGAGACTAGCCACCGCATATTATGTCCTCGCAGTAATCGGAATGCTGATGGCGGCTGCGAATATGCTCTTCGCGCTAGCCCGCGGCCATCATTTGAGAAGAGGAGTACGTCACTTTTCCATGTACAATTTTATACATAGATATCTAACACGGATACGCTATAGGTCCTACTCCCCGCCACCGTGGTTCTCATTCTATCATCATTGGGACTGACCACCCTCAACCTCGCCAACCACATCATCATCGATTACCTGCAGACCCAGTATATGCGCAAGAGCGTCGGGGGATTTTACCAGTCGATGGAGGCCCAGACATTCCTGAAATACTTCTTCTACGCTGCGAGCTTCCTCGCGGCTCTTCTCGTCGCTTCGTCGAACCAACTCTCCGATAATGCCTCCACAGGACCCGTGAAGCATCTCCCCAACCAGCCGAAGTATAACCCTCAGCAGCCGTACCGGGCTTATCGGGCGCAGCCTCAGACGCAGCAGAGCTATAAGTAGTTTCTGTTGCATGGAGTTTGTTAGATTTTATGACCGAGAAGAGTGTTCGGGCGTGATGTTAATGTCTATTTGATGGGTGCATAGAGATGGCATGTGTGTGTGTTTGGAGCGGGATATATGATGATGATCTAATGTCTTTTCTTTTGTGGTCATAGTTCGCCAGATTTCGGATATACCCCAATACCCCCATACTATGTTTGAGATTAATATTTTTTTGAGGAATATATTGTTGGCTGTGCTTTGCAGAACTGCTCAGGATATTGAGGTCTGACGTAGGTTGGCATGTCGGCTGCAGGATAATATGTAAGATGGAAACAGACTTCGCTTGCATGGATATAAATAGAACACTGGGTGTGGGGCCTAAGAATACCAGGCATTATACAGCTAATGCGAGTTCCACATTGGTTGATTGGATCGAGAGAGTGGAATTATGGAATGGAAAGGGTGAAAGAGTGGCGATGCAATCAATGGATCTGCGAGTTTAATTTTAGCCCCGATGGATCAGACCTGCATTCCAACTAATACCACTAATCGAGATCAGTCGATACGCACGAGTCTGTTGAAAATTCGACTCAGTTGAACTTCTGCCGCCAGCCATAAAGAATTTGCATATACAGAGTTCACATGAGGGCTTGCTGTTCCTGTCTTTGGTAAATAAAAGTGTAGGACGTTGGACTACAACCACGTTGTCATAGTACAACAATTTCTAACAGCATTTATGCACAGCACTCAGATGGATACGCATGCCTCAATCCTCATATACCCTCACAACCCTAGCATAAACACTTGGCTCACCCCTACGCGTCAACCCAACCCCCATATCGCGTACAATCCTCATATCCTCCGCGGTCGTGTTGACCAGCTCAATATCAAACCGACGTACGTAATACGCAAGAGTCATGTAAAGTTCGAGGAAGGCGAGGCTTCAAACATTAGTCGCTATCTGTGACCCGGGTGCTGTTTCGCTTACTTCATGCCAACACATATCCGACTGCCTCGGGAGAAGGATGTAATGTATTCGAAAAGATGCTCGTTGGTTCGGCCAGCGGAGATCCATCGCTCAGGAGAGAACTTCTCCGGCTCGGAGAAGATGCTTGGGTCTTTGTGGCCGAGGTAGCTTGAGGAGCTGACTAGCGTCTATCGGACTCTGTTAGTGTTGTGTTGTTGAGGTTAAGTCCAAGAGGGTTTGCTTACTCCTGGTGGGATAGTGTATTCTTTGTAAGTTAGGGTTTGGTCGGGTGCTATGCGAGGGGATCTGGCCGTAAGGAAGCCGCCGAGACGCAGGGATTCGTTCACGGTGCCAGTCTGGAGGTGTGTTAGTGATGTTAAAGCGATTCTAATACAACAGAGACAGCAAACGTTGGGACTTGAAATAGGAGGGAGAGAGATTGGTCTGATTACTTACTAAATAAGGCAACTTTTCCAGCTCGGACCAGGTAACCGGGCTGGTAGGGCTCGACAGGACAGTCCTCAGCTCCTCTCTCATTCCAGTGCGCATCTGCTCGTCCGATGCGATATGAAAACAGGCAGCCGTCAACGCTCTGACCGTTGTCTACGTCCCAGCACTGATGAGCAAGAAACCTTCATCCTGCAGACGCTGGAGGGACCGCTCTTCAGGCGGAATGCTGGGATCCGTCAACTGGTCATAGATTGTTTTATGTTTACCAACGACATCATCGTGACCGAGCATATATTTATCCTTGTGAATTGCCTCAGCTGACAGCTCATATATCGCTTTCTGGATATCTAGTACCACCGATCTCCCGGGATGGATCGCACGCAACAACCGAAGTGGTAGCATTTTGAGCATGGAAATGAAAATCGGGAAAATGCGATTGAAATGAACACTACAACTGAGATCATTAACGGCCTTGCGAACGTCCGTGCGCAGATTCGCGTCCTCGAGATAGTTCCAACTTTTTCCATAGCAGTATTGCGTAATGACATCAGAGGTCATGGCTGCGAAGGCATCACCGACCCGGACTACTTCGTTGGTCTGGTGAAAGGCTTCAAAGCGCTGCATAAGCTTGTGGACCTTCTCTTCAACCAGGTGGGATAGCGCACGGATGGACTTCTTAGAGAAAAGACTGTTTACGAGACCCCGACGATAGCGGTGGAGGTCGTGGTCTATTGTCGAGGTGCTGGAGAGGGGCATGCCAGTGAAGGAAACGTATTTTGTATCCTTATTGCGCCTCTGGGTGCCCGTGGCATAGATCTCGTCGTAATAGTGCGGGTCATTGATGTGGATCTCGCGAGGGTTTATGCGCACGATGGGCCCTGACTCTTGGTTAGTTGGGTATTATATGTACGGACAGTTAGCATTGGTGTTTACCGCATCTCTCATGTATTCACTCGATCTCAAAGAGGTATCTCCCTCCCAGGCATAAATCATAGTACCACTCATACATGTGGGTGACCGCCGCTAATTTCGGACCAGGGATGTTTCTTAATGGGTGAAAGTAGAGTCGATAGATGCTATTGGCAACGAGATAGCTGATCAGTCCAATGAGGGTAAGCCAGAGTCTTGATAAGTCCATTTTGAAGCCCTAAAATTATTCATATAGTCCGCACGGCAGACCGCGCATCCTAGATGCCACGGCCATTCTTTATATAGTACATGGAGCAACGGTGAGGATACGATGTAAATTTGGGGGACGCACTGCCACCCCGTCACAATTTTTATTGTAAAGCGAATGAGAGATAAAGGCCAGCTAATAGGATCGTTGCAAAGCTAGAGGAAGCTGTGCAGCCGGATTGTGGCCCCTGGTAGCAGGTTTGTGGTTCACCCATCTAGGATAATGACTCCCAGGGCTTGTCACTGGTGCAGTCCGATCCAGTTGGCAGGGTATTGACTGCCACTCATACAATGGATGTGGCGTCTTAATACTTAAATGAGAGTAAGTTAATCAGCAGGTGTGTCTGTCACTTGGTAGACCGGTCACCAACCATCATCTGAAGCGTGACGTAGTTTTGGGGCCTCTTGAAACTGGGATCTGGTCCCTGCACGCTATAATACTTGGAACTCATAACCTTGACCTGCTTGTCCATTGTTCCATATAGCTTCTAGGACTATGCCACAAACACGTATGCTTTATCAAAGCAGTCGTCCCATCCTGTTTGGCCCGAAGTCCAAAACCTGTGGAACACAGCGCCCGCTAATGTAGGCGTCGGACACCCCATGATTTTGCTCAGCTCCGATAATTGACCATCGATGATATGACGAATGTTAGGACTCGCATCAACGGCCTGCATCCCCGCCACAACGAGTGGCCATATCGCGAAATGTTTGATACGGGGGCGACGGGTAACTTTTGGAAGAAGGTTGTATAGACGAGTCCCATGTAAAGTCCTCATCGCAGTATAATACCTACTGGAGGGAATGATGGAGAGGCTTTGGAGAGACGAGATACAGTACAGTGCTATGGAGGACCGGTACATGCGTCCCAGTAGCAACCAGTCATCCCGTGCGTCGGGGTGGGTGCCGGTCCAGTCTTCAGGCGAGAAGGCTTCAATGTGCTCGAGTATCTCGTGCGCTGTTGCTCGTGTGGTGTCACTTATTGGGGAACATGTCGTTTGGAAGCGGAGATTGTTGATCTTGATGACGTCCATTAGGAGGTACGGAGGGCATAGGAGGACCGGATATATGCCATCTCCGTACAGGTCTGTCATGACGTCGATCAGCTCGAGTTGCGACGTGGTTGGAATATGTCGTGGCGGAGGAGTAGTCGTGTTGGCCATCACTCCCAGACTTAGCATTGCAATTTAGTAACTTGACAGGCGAGAGAGTGTGGGGAGTAAGGGTGAAGAGGTAAAGCTCTTACATGAGAAGATGAAGTATCAACGGCTTCAGATACTCGGAGGAACGTGCAAGACTTGCCAGGCCACCACGCAGCTTAATCAATTCTATGGCAGCAGCGAAGTGGTGCTGCCAGTCCGCTGACGGTAGTTGTCTGGCCTTGAAGGTCACCATTGCATTTAGCCTTGACTTATTTGGAGAAGAAATGATAACACGGGCTTACATCAACAAACAAGAATAGCATGATGCTTCCAATGGTAAGGTCGATCGACGTTTGGCTGCTCAGGTTCCCCAGTAGCTCCGTCAAGGATCGAAGTGCCAGTCCTCTATGTTGATAAAGGCTCGGTCGCAAACGCGCCACCACGCGACGATGATCCCCCGAGTACACACGATGGATGCGGTGGCCAAGGGCAAGACATACTAATGTGTGACATATCGACATGGGCATTTGGTGCAGCGCATCTAGGGGAAATTGGCCTAGGTAAGGGTTCGGCGCTAACTCGTGCATGGCGCGAAAGTCAGTGTAGACATAGTCGTTGACTAGGAGGAACTATGAAAATCAGTTACATTTTGCAGCTCGAAGCGACATACAGTACCACACGGCCTCAACCATCGTGCATGTGTCGCTTTTCAACTCTCGCCGTGGGATTGGCATTCGCAGTAGTTCACTTCCCACGCGGGTTTGCGGAGCGTCCTTCTTGTCAACTGCCTCATCGCTTCGAACTGTACCGTCCGTAGCAGAAGGTGAACGTCGCTTTTGAGCGCGAGATGTCACTTTTCCAGGGGCTAGCCATCGGAGTGGTTTCTTCTCGTCATATCCGGGGCAATCAACACCGGCTGATCGGCATTTGTTACAGGTGGGTCGCTCGAAATCGCATACAAGCCGACGGCGCATACACTCCCAGCAATGTCGTTGGCTTGTTGTGGGATTCAGTTGCGCTCGGGGCTCCATTTTACTATATGGAGTACTTCTGAGTGGAAATTTGAGGCAGTCAGATCGTACCATGATGGTTGGGGCGTTGGATATTCGGCCTTGCTGACTTGGCAAAGCTTTGGATCCATCTGGCTGAGTGAGGGCTTGGCGTCGATCAAGCCCTAGCAAAGGGTCAAGTCTAGACCGTATCGGGTCATGGACTGTACGGACTTCCCATGATTCTTGGCCCCAGTAGCTGGCTACAGTAAGAGCTCGGAATACGTTTTTTGTCACAATGATTGTCGATCAGGTGACATTGATGATCAATGCCATCGTGAGTTGGGAATACCAAGTCTCTTTCCGTAATACTTCTAGGCACCCTTCTACAAAAGACTTGGTCTCTCGGCTGCGATAGATGGTGAGACTGATGATGTACCAAGACTACTACATTTTCTCTGTGCCTACTCGGGAATGAGTGAATCTTAGGACATCCATGAGTGAAGCTCTCAACTCATTAAACGGACTATTAGTATCTCCGAGCCCGACATAGGCCTGTCGTGTGAAACATACTATCACAACAAAGACTTCAACGGCTGTGGGGTATATTTTCATATCAACACGTTTGACCTAAAGAACAGCTAAAGCCAATGTCGTCGACTCATGGCAACAACAATACCATTGATGATGACAGGCTACTCACTAAAGAAACCCCTGATGACCCTGGATGACGATGCCTGGTAGGACGCCAAGTGCTGATAGAATTGCGAGTTGATTTGCATTAAACCCTTCTCGTTCCTCGTTTGTTTGAGGCATTTCCATGCCGTGCTCAGCTCGTTGTCTGATCATCTTTTGACGGACTGCCCATCGGAGGAAGGACCATTGTGCCAGGTACCAATCTGCAATTGTGCTGTGTCCCAATGTACGCCAGGCTTCTTAGTTTCGATGCTCAACAGAAGTGGAAGTTTGTAGATAGGTTCATGATCAGCGGGGAATATCCATCCTTGTCCAAGGCGTTGTCAGGGAGATGCAAAAGACGCAGTGAATCATTCTATTTGTGATTTAGTTTTCAAGTACCCTGTAGGTAGATTTAGGGAACTATCTAGTACTTACCTCAGTGTTGGTACATAGTGTAGCTTTCAAGTAAATGGCAAAGTCGGTGTGGTTCACAGTTAGCGTCGGGGAGATTGTGAATCCAAGCAAAGAATAGATTCTAGCAATCGTGCAAGAAGGGAAGGAATCAGTCCGGAAATCAGGTGATTCTTCCGTAGTATTTCCCCTCGCAGCCCGCCATTTGGCGTGTTGGTCTGCCTCACCTCAACTGTTCGTTACTATAACTATAACTACTGGTTTACTTATACTCTAGAGTAGTTCCCCAGGTCCTTCCACCAACCGTCAACTGCAAGATACCGTTTTCATAGGTGCATGAGCCGCCAGATACTCGAGGTATTTCTGCTAAAATAGACTTATACCCAGATCTACAGGCGGGAGATACTTGATCAAATTCTTCGAATCATTTAATCATTATTTATACTATCTATTCCCTAGCATTTATCCTCTATTGTCGAATGTTTTATCAAGAGCGCTTTTTGCCCTTTCCGCGCCCCTCGAAACTCCAATCGATCTGGGTGGCCATCCGCACCTTCACGTTGAGCTCGTTCGCAAAAGCACGAACTAAGCCTGGGTTCTGTTGGAACCACCGTCCGGCTTGGACAGCATCAATGCCAGACTGGACCACTTCCTCGGCCAGCGCTCCTGTTTTAATGCCGCCCACAGCGGAGATCAGCAATTTATCGCCGACAGCTTCTTAATCTTTTGAGCAAAATGCACCTGATAAGCAGGGGTTGGCTTGATGGCGATGGAAGATTTGGCGTGAACACCACCGGAGCTGACATCCACTAAATCGACACCGTGATCAGCCAGGAGGGGGGCGAGCTGTACGGATTGATCAACAGTCCAGCTCTCAGGAAACTCGTCCTCGAGGCCAAACTCGAACCAGTCAGTCGCACTGATCCGAACAAGGAGAGGCATTGTTTCTGGGATAACAGCCCGAATCTCATCCACAATCTCCAGTACCAGTCTAACTCGGTTTTCAAAACTGCCTCCATATTCGTCGGTTCTTTTGTTGCTCACGGGGCTCAAAAACTGGTGCAACAGATACCCATGGGCAGCGTGGATCTCAATGGCGTCAAAATTAGCGTCAACAGCTCTTCTCGCAGCTGCTGCGAAGTCTTTTTTAGCACTTCGATATCTGCCTTAGTCAGAGCCTTAGGGACGGTGTTGATACCCTCCTCCTGGGGAATTGCCGATGGGGCCACAATCTCATCGGGCCACCCGCCAACTTCTTTAACGGCCATTGCGTTTCCACTCAACCAAGGAGCAACGGCACTACCTTTCCGGCCGGAGTGAGCTAATTGAATCGCAATTTTCTGGCTTTGGCTATGGGCAAACTCCGTAATACGCTTCAATGGCTCGATCTGACCGTCTTCATAGAGGCCAAGATCCTGTGGGGTGATCCGACCCACTTTCTGGACGGCGGTTGCCTCCATAATTGCCAACCCTGGGCCGCGCTGGATGATCCCGCCCAGGTGCGTTAAGTGCCAATCCGTGGCGTAGCCATCCTTCGCGGAATATTGACAGAGCGGTGCCAGGAACAAGCGGTTGGGAAACGTCACCCCGCGGATGGTGATAGGGCTGAATAACTTGACTGATCCCTCGAGTTGCGTGCCTGCAGGAGGATCCTGGGCCGGCGTGTAGTAAGATACGCCTTTGGCCGCGATATTATCGATTATTTCGTACGTCATGGTTTGTGATTTAGACTCTTAGCCGGGTGCGAGGGGATTGCTGGGCGCTGCATAGCATAACGAGGTAAGAACCTTAAGTATTCTGTATACAGAATGCCTTGGGGCTGATGACAAATCAAAGGATTATTAATGTGATGTCGTACCGTGGAGTATCATGAAGTGGCTTATGGAGTAATAGTATCATGGACTATCATGGCCATATTGTCTCATCATCCTTGTCGAGCACATACCTGTGTGCCCCGAATCTCAGCCCATGATTGGCTTTCGCATGGCCACTTACCCCAATCTCCCCCGAGACCTACTCCGATTTACATAAATCGTCCGAGTATTGGCGGCAAGCTAGGCAGGGATCCGTTCGGGGTGGCCGTAAGAACCGGACCTTTTTCTTGACCATTGCCCCATGCATATGGGCCTATTCGAGTCTGGGCCGCAGCTATACGGGTTTCTTTGTCTTAACCCCAAATTGTCGCTTCTTGTCTCCTCATCTGTTCTCCTCTCCACTCCTTGTCTTAACTGTCTATGTGCCCTCGCTATCTGACGTCACGCCCTCGAATTCATTTGCCCTCGAGGAATTTTTGGGTCACTCTCCCCGTGAACAGAGGCGACAGAAACCGACAATTATTATCACCTGTAAAAACCAGCATGTCGTGGGAGACCATCGGCAAGGAAGCTCAGGCGAGGGTGCTGGAGTCCATCCCCGCGCGATGGAGGCTGGATCCCCAGAAATATCGGTCGCTGAAGGATGTGACGAGCGTGCCATACACCAGCGGCATCCTGACGAATGACCAGCTCAAGATTACTGAGCTCACCGTTGTCGAGATTGTGAAGCGTCTCGAGTCTCGTGAATTGAAGGCCGTCCAAGTTCTCGAAGCCTTTGCCGCTCGGGCTGCCATTGCGCATCAACTGGCACGTCAATGAAATCCCCGAAAGTTGTATGGTTAGGCTAACAGGACCAATAGGTGAACTGTCTGACCGATTGGTTCTATGAAGATGGGCTTCAGCAGGCAAAAGAGCTCGATCTGGTCCTGGACAACGGGGGCAAGTTGCAAGGGCCGTTACACGGAGTTCCGATCGCGTTAAAGGTAGCCATAGAGTTGAGTACGCTCATCTGGACCATATGAGGCTAATAGACTAGCCAAACAGGATTCCCATGAACTCAAAGGCCATGCTGTAACAATGGGCTACGTCTCACGGAGGGATAATATTGCCAAGGAGGATTCTAACATCGTGAGGACATTGCGCAATGCCGGTGCGGTCTTTTTTTGCAAGACCACCATGCCTCAGTCTGGAATGGCTTTGGAGACGGTCAGCAACCTCTGGGGCCGCACGGTAAACCCATTCAATAGAGATTTGGGCGCCGGTGGAAGTTCTGGTGGAGATGCGACGCTGGTGGCCCTACGAGGTAGCCCCATCGCTCCTTCAACGGATATGGGAGGATCTATCCGCATACCGGCTGCTTTCAACGGACTATATGCCATTAGGCCTACGTCAGATCGCATTCCAAAGGGTGGGATGACCAACACGAACACCGGGAATCTCACAATTAAGTTGTCTTGCGGACCTGTCTGCCACTCTCTCGACGACCTTGAGTTGTTTACTCGAATCATCAACGCCCATCCGCTCAACCAGTACGATTCCACTGCCGTGCCCGTACCTTGGAGAAAACTGGATGCTCTAGATCGTAAGCTCACCATCGGAGTATTGAAGTGGGATGGTGTGGTAATGCCTCACCCACCGGTACTTCGAGCATTAGAGCACACCAAGCAGACACTCGAGAAAGCCGGGCATGAAGGTGAATTACCGTCTTGAGTCTTATTTTGATTAAATCTTTTATCAAAACGAACACTGACCTGATTCAAAGTCATTACGTTTGATATGCCTTTTGATTGTTGGGATATTAAGAAAACCACGGTAAGCGTCCTGTTGGGTTCACAAGACCGTCGCATTAACGTGGAAGTCAGTTCGATATCTACTACCAGTCAGGCTCTGCTGGCACAATGTCCACACTAGCAGCCTCGGGCGAGCCTACTATACCAGCATTTGCAGACCTGCTCAGAGTCTTCAACACCCAAGAGCACTCTGCTGCTGAGGCATTGAGGGTACGGAGTTCTTTCTTTTCCCTCCAGTGAACATGATCTTCGAGAACCACACTGACAAGCCGGACAGTTCAATCTCAAAGCGAGATCCCTCAAGGAGCAATTTGCAGATGTATGGAACAAGACGGCCAATCGCACAAGCTCAGGTCGTGCAATTGACGCGCTGATATTACCCCCAGCCCCCGCAGTGGGCTACCCTCATGATTTTAACATCTACTGGGGATATACATCCTTGTTCAATCTTCTCGACTACCCTTCTGTGATCTTGCCGGTTGCCAACTTTAAGGTGGATCCACAGCTAGACCCCGTGGATTCTAATTACCGACCGGTAGAAACAAATCCCTATGATAAGCCCAATCATGAATTGTGTAAGTCGGCCAAACTTTCCCCTAGTGATACGATTTCTAAGAAGTCTTCATGCACAGATGACCCGAACCTGTTCGTGAACCAACCATCAACTATCCAGATTGTTGGGCGTCCTTTTCAGGATGAAGAAACTATACAGGTAGCCTCGGTTCTAGACGCGCTGTTTAAGGCTCCATAGATTAGATGAACTTAGCGATAATGGATGTTACGTTCGCCGAATTCGAACCCCTCATCCATAGTATGGGACCCATATGGATATCACCCATGGACCCCCTGGCTAGATACAGTGTTCATTTAGACAACAATATTACCTTGCATGGAACAGCGATACGCCAGGACCTTGTCTATATCCTATACCGAAAGTGTTTGTTCTCTTTATCAGTAATATCTTGGTAACCCTCCAATAAGTCCTCCTGAACTGCCACCAGAGAAACACGACCAGGACGCCTGTTCTCCACCCAGCACCACACAGTATACATCGATTGGAAAAGGATGACCGCGCAGTAAGTTCCCAGTAAGCCCTTGATAGCGGTAGGGTATCGCGGCACCTCTTTCGATAAGAACATATGAGGACCGACGATATTTCCCACGACAAAGCAAACAAAGTAGATGCTCAGCGTAGTAGTGCGCTTGGTGTGACCAGCCACATTTACACCAGCGAGCGTCCAGTTCAGTATTATAGGAGCACCGACGAAGTTCTGCATCCAACACATGGCCAAGAGGGCATACCGACGGTCAATTGGTATGGTTAACAGGCCAATCAGCCCAACCATGCCGGGCAGACAGCCCAAAATAACCGAGATTCCAAGCATGTTCCGATACTGAGAGACATAGCCCAGCGACAAGCAGCCCACGATCTCGAACGCTCCTCCGGGCGCTTGCATCAAGGATGTCCGCAATGGATCGAAATTTAATCCTTTGATGATGGCCGACATGAAGTTGGTGACTCCACTGTTGAGTATTCCGATGCCCATTCCCGCCATGTAAAGGAGATAACATCTGCCATCGAGAAGCGCCTCTTTGATTTGATAAGACTTGATCGTGGGGTTCTTGATTCCCATCTGATTGTGCGATACTCGCCAGACTGCGACAATGCGCTCGTATTCGGAGAGCATCTTCGCGTTATGAGGGCCGTCCGGTAGATAGGCCAGTATGACGAAGCCCCACAGGAGAGTCAGAGCGCCGACAATCTGAATAAATACGCATGCGCAATTAGCAAGCAGAGTATTGGAAGAATGTTGCCCACCGCACTCACCAAGAAAATTAGTTTCCAATTTGCAATCGTGAGTCCTTCAGTCGTACCCGTCCCATACGCAAGCAGAGACCCTAGAATGCTCGCAAGGCCGTTTGTGCAAAGCCAGAAGGAACTTCTGAGTGATTGTTCTTCGCGTGTCCAGAGCATGGAAGTGAGAAGCACCCAAGATGGCGAGATACATGCCTCGAATAGACCGAGGAAGAAGCGAACTGCGAAGAATCCACCGGTGTTGAAGACTGCAGCCTGCAGCATGCAGACCGCTCCCCAGACAATCAGCATTGCGCCGACCGTCTTTGCAATCGGCAGACGTTGCAATAACATGTTCCAGGGCCATGCACCACCTCATAGTAAGTCAATAGCCTTTCTTTACTCGGGTTGAGGGCCCTAGTAACGTACATAACCAACCAAAGTAGAGAGCGCTGACGACCCAGGAGTAATCATCTCCAGTCATGTGGGTGTCGGTCTGGAGGCCGTATGCATTCGAATAGTTAAGACTAATTATCATGTTACGAACATGCTTTGTTTATCGATGTCTAGCTGTCTCACTTACGTCTGTTTGTCCAAGAATGATAGCATATATGTTATCATCATCTAGAAAGTTATTAGCACGCTGAACGCTCAGAAGCAGTGTGCCTATAGTCTAACCATTGGCAGAACTAGAAAGTCCAGTTTTCGTCTAACTCTGACAGAGTCCTCTTCTAGCTGAGCGCGGTCAAACTGCAGTGATCGTTGCAGCATCTCTTGTCCCAGCTCATTAGGACCACTTCGAGCGTTCAACCGCTGGAAGAACGATTGTTCAACACGCACAGAAGAGACTTCGATTGGAGCATCGTGTTCCTTGATCGTGCTAGAATCATCTATCTTGGTGTCGATAGTTCCACCCTCCATGTTATCGGGGAACTTGGGTGAATACTTTGGTGGGCGTGTTGTCGAAGGTAACAGTTGCATACCATCATGGTGCTATACCAGCTGGGCTGAGGCTTATAGACAACATCCCCGTTTCGCAAAAGGTGGGGTATTCCTGCAAAGACTGGTGGAACCTCTTAGGGCTTGAACCGTTTAGAAAGTGTCAGAAGACTGTCCCCGATGTTTGAGGCTCCGTGGCTAGCCATCTCCGCGCCGCCCAAGGGGGGAACATGGATTTACACTGTTAACCAGCTGAATGTGCACTGTAGGCAGTGAGGACTTCCGCCGATGTACGAAGCTATCTGTCCGAACCGGAACAATGTGTGTTAGGGTTTCAGAAGACAGGACTCTCGAAACCTTTACTCCACATCGTAATCTTCCGAGCGGGTTCCGAGCAACTGACAAGAAAACTACATGACCGATCATCCAATGGAAGAGCGTGATTACCAATGGCAGAGAACGGAGAATTACTTAGCCATCGGTTTGAATTCAATAATATGTGTACTGCTTTCTCTCCTTTTCTTTTTCTTTGCATTGGCAGTATTTCCCCCTCTGAAGTTCCCTTACTGTTGTTGTCTTGAGCAATAGACTCCCCTACCACAGTATGGTGCTGCCACTTGAACTCCTACTTTCCCCATGGATTGCTCTTATTGGACCTATATTTGTGGCTCTATATTATCTCGTTCCTTATTTCTGGACACTTAATCACTTGAGGGATATCCCCGGGCCCCTTGCAGGTCAGCTCTCGAACTTCTGGCTTTTGCTTGCTTGTCGAGCAGGCAAGCGTTACAAATATGTAGATGAAGCTCACAAGCGATATGGCCCTATTGTCCGCATACAGCCTAATCATATCAGCATTGCCGATGAGGAGGTCATTCAGACCATATACGGACATGGGAGCGGTCTTCTAAAATCGTGAGCAAGTATCAAACGCGTGAAATATACTTAGCATTGCTGAATACTCGTTAGGTCCTATTATGACGCTTCCCTCATCACCACTCGCAGCATCTTTACTTCCAGGGACCGCGCCGAGCATTCTCGAAAAAGAAAAGTGGTGTCCCATAGCTTTGCGCCACAGGCGATGCGAAACTTCGAGCCGTTCATCCATTCATGGTTGAAGATCTTCATCCAGAAGTGGGACGATATCGCCCAGAAGGAAGCCCAACCTGACGGTTATGCAGATGTGGAGGGCCGCGTGTGGCTCAAGTAAGTTTCGTCATCACAGCGTCGACTGAATCATATATTGACGGGATAGTTACCTGGTCCTGGACATCATCGGCGACCTTGCATTCGGTGCACCCTTTGGTGTGCTCGAAGCTGCTTCAGAGGATATAACGATTCGCCTCAGCAAGGAGAAGTCCATCTCTCTCCCGGTTATCACGAGCCTCACGACCAGGAGCGAAATCGCAGCGACTGTAGGAGCACTCCCCGAACTCCGGCCCTACTTAAAATGGATCCCCGACCCCTTCTTCCATGCGGGTGTCACAGGAATGAACAACTTGCGTAGCCTGGGCACAGCTCGCATCCTCGATCGCCTGAGTAACCCACCCAGCGCGGACCGCCACAAGGACTTGCTCGAGCGCGTGCGAGAGGGGCGTGACGACAACGGCCAGCCCTTTGGAGTAGGAGAGCTCACCGCTGAATCTTTGACCGTGCTCATTGCGGGCACGGACACCACGAGTAGCACGTTTGCGGCATTGATGTACCATGTCGTTAGAACCCCTGGCGTTTTGAAGAAGCTACAAGCAGAACTCGACTCGGCGCTTCCGGCAGACACAGTGATTCCCTCGTATGACCAGGTGAAAACGCTTCCGTATCTAGGTGCTATCATCAATGAATCACTACGGCACCATTCCTCTATCAGTCTAGGTCTCCCACGTGAAATCCCACGAGGCACCCCAGGCCTCACCATAAGGGGACGTTACTACCCCCCAGGTACTGTTTTGAGTATTCCAATCTACACAGTGCACCACCTGAAGGAAGTCTGGGGCCGACGTGGATGAGTTCAGGCCCGAAAGGTGGGAGAACCTCACGCCACGCCAAAAGAAGGCCTTCATCCCATTCAGTTACGGCCCGCGAGCATGCCTCGGACGTAACCTTGCTGAGATGGAATTGAGACTGATCACCGCAACATGGGCCAGGAGATATGATTTTGTTTTGAGAAAGGATGAAATGGAAGTGTGTGAGGGATTGGCCAGGAAGCCAATTGCTGTTAACGTCGGACTGAAGCGGCGAGAGATTGCAGTCTGAGGAAATATGTATAGAGACATCGGTAGAACGAATTGTGGTAGAATTGGCTACGGTATATTAAATCGACTCTCACGACAAAATTAAATCGGTTTTGGACTATGTTGTTTAGTATTACGCACAATTGGCATGCTAGTTGGGATATTGAGATTTTTTTTAACATCAGTGGTTGGCAAAGCTTTGATAATGTCCTAAAAGATGGCAAGGCTATTATTGTCTGTCCTTGTCTGTCCTTGTTTGTCTTTGTTTCTCTCTCTTTCTTTTACACTTTGTATTTGTGCGCAGGACACTCTTACAGAGAAATCTAGATCTTTTCAATCTAACCCGCCCAACGTTGTGATAGTAATTTAGTGCTGATTCTAGACACCCACGACGAGATACCCAGTAAGTCTGATTTTGGAGATTACCCCAAATATGGCTTCCCCAACGTAATTCTCAGACACCTTATTCCTAACCTTTCTCCGCACTTTAATGTTCCGAGTGGGGTCCCGATGTCGAGATATCTATGGCCGTTACTCCGAGTGGGACTCCGAGGCCATATGTTCCGAGTGGCAGTGTCGGTAGTTGCTGGTACGTAATTGCTCCGATGGAAACAAGAAACAAGAAACAGCAATATGCAGGAATCAAACATGACTTCGCTCTATGGGATGCCGACTAGCCCCCTGGAATTAATTAATAGGGCCAGTATGTCAGCATATTCCAACATGGATGGTAATTGCTGTGAAGGAGGAAGATATAAAGAATGACTTGCCTGATCTAATCATGAGGGATTCTGGACTTCCTATGGTAGTAGACTGATGCCAACCGATGATGTTGCTCACACACCTTGAAGCCGATTCATCAGTAGCTTGGGTCCTGCTCGTATCATACCCACTCCTTTGGTCAGCAATTCGACCTAGTTTCACTTGCCAAGTCGGCAGGCGTAGATGAGTCTCTACGCCAAGTCGGACATTGCTAGCCATAACCGGTAGACAGTCAGAAAGCAATAGGGAGCGTCAAATGAAACTAAACAATGATAGAGATAGATATAGATATTAGGGTCACGCCCAATTGACAAATTCCCAGACTGGCAATTACCGTAGCTACTATGCGTCCTATAGCCTGCTGGTTATCTTGTTTGCCCAAGCTTCTCTCCATAAGCTTGGTGAGCTTCCCCCCGTTGGCGACAGCTCTCCTGACTCCCTTGCCACTTGAGTTCCAGGATACAACTGCGCAATGGGCGTATTTATCCTACGAAAACCCCTCGTTTGCCGTACTTGCAGGTGAATTCAACCGGTCTGCCTTCGTCGCGCAAACCAAAAGCGTGACATCTGATCCCGAAGTAACCAAAGCGTAGGTTCAATCTCCGTTTCCCTATCCAGTTTGTGTGATTGTTAACGCCAACCAACAGCTTGGAATATCTCAACTCCACAGACTTCGTCGCGTACGACGAACGATTCTTCGATTTAATCGGTCCCGAGGCAAGCATTCGCCGGTTACACGATCTCCCGTTCCAGACTCACGAGGCGCCGTGCTATAACCCGTCGACCAAGGAGCTCTTCTTCATCGAATGGGGCCCTCCGGGGGGCGACGACGGTTCTCACGATTGGCAGTACCTCCTGAACACGGAGACTAATGAGCTGCGCAAGATTTCGACCAACCCACCCATTCACAACGTGCACGGATGCGCATTCCACAATGGATTGTACTATGTCGTGACGGACGGGAGCCACAATCAGACTGCGTCGCTGAATAGAATCAATCCAGACACTCTGGAGGTGACTACTTTGCTTAATAACTACTACGGGTTGCCATTTCAGGGATTCAACGACCTTGACATCGATTCCGACGGCAATTTCTGGATCACCGATGACCACTATGGCTGGGTTAGTTCAATGCCGCTGTGTACGCACTCATATCCCCACTAACCGAATGTGTAGGGACGAGGAGTCGTACCTTTCACGCCACCTGTGCTCTCTACCGTCTATTTCGTCAACGGCACCACACTCCGTCCGAGACCCTTCCACGTCACTGAGAACCAGGCCAACGGTATTGCGTTCTCCCAGGGCCACGACGGCAAGGCGACCATCTTTATTTCCCACACGGGCGCCGTGTCCCCGGACAAGAGCCACAGAGAATACCCTTTCCGACCCCGGACTCTGGAAGCGTATGATGTGTCGTACCCGGGTGCATGGACGAGCGGCCATCGGCTCGTCAGCGTTCCTATCTCTTTCGTCTACGACGGTATCAGAACCACCAGGGGTGGCTGGGTCCTCGCCGGTGCGGGAGAGGGCGTAGATATACTCGACCCTCAGACCGGGCTGGCGTTGGGGACCATTCGCGTGGGCGGGGGGGACTATGTGGCGGTCAATACGGCCTTGGGAGAGAAAGAGCTGTGGATTGTTGGCGCTGGGGGCGTGTGGCATGTAACTGGCTTTCGTGAGACCCTCACAAGGGGCTTTTAGATGGCCTCCACAAGGACAGAGTGCTGGCTTCAGTTGGGATATTTTCTAGAAAGCAATGGGGCTGGTGACTTATTAGATGTTTTTATGTGTGACCTAACAAAAGCTTGTAACTGACCCTTACACTATATTAGACCTGAACAGGAAACTACTATCTGATGCTGCTTGAAATGAGTAGAAGTGTAATATGAATATTCACACCCTCTGTCTGTGGTATACCTCAACATTTTTGTAAATTTATATCACATGGGCATGAGAACAGCCTAATTGACTGTTATTCTAATTTCCTTATTGATTCACTTGCGACTTGTGATCCATAAGTGCGAGGAGTGCAGCATCAGAGCGCAACTCCACTCAACCCACGAAATTCACAATCTAGAACGACAATGAAATTTTTTCTATTTAAGGTGGGCATGTAGGGCTAGAAATATGCCAACGGTTATTCATGTGAGTTCTCTCGATCAACCATCTATATATCTTTTTTATCAACAGCGGCCATACATGTCTATATTTTAATCCACCATCCTCTCTTTGTCCTTCGTTGTCGAGTCAGTCTCGCCGCGAAGATAAACGCCGCTCCCAGCAGAAAACTAGTGCCCATGAGTATTTCAGCTCCAAGGTACCTGCCCCCTGTAGATGAAATAATTGCACCAGCGATCGGGTTCCCCGTGAGCGTTGCAAAACTGACAATGGTGAAGTTCATCCCGATGCGTGCGCCGCGCTTCGACAAGTCGGTCGTCAGACTCGACAGCCCTGCCGGAAACAGGCTCAAAATACCGCCGGCAACGATGCCGTACACGACCGTCCACGCGTAGAGTTGACCGGGTGTGTGCACTGCAATCCACGAGTACAGCGCGATGCCGGCAATCACACACGTCGGGATCATCATATTGAGCGGCCCCACCCTATCGGCGAAATGGTTTGGTATCATGCGGCCTACTACACCCACACCATTCAGGATCAGAAGGATGTTGAGGGAGTCGGTATAAGAGAAGTGAGGAGTGATGATGTCGCGGCTGTACGAAGCGACGTAGTAAAAGCCGAAGAACACCGCCCAGAAGTTCTGAGAACATTTCGTTAGTCGGCCCCGTTTAATCAGCGAGCCAGGTGTCGGGGGTCAGGTACTTACAAAGAACATGCCAGCGGTGAAGAAGGTATACTCCAGCTCTTTGAATGCAACCCATTCCACGAGTCTGCCTGCCTTGCGTGGCGGCAATCGTGACCTCATGAAGGTAGTGACAAAGAGCAAGGTGGCCACCTGCACAAAGCCGATGCCTCGCAATGCCCAACCAATCCCACTAGAGGGTATAAGCTGTCTGGCCATCGCAGAAAAGACAAGGCCCCCTGTTACAGAGCCACATGTGGCGAAACCGATGGCGAGAGATCGTTTCTTCTCAAAGTATGTAGAAACTACAGATACCGCTGGTGTGACCAGACAACCACTGCCGAGGCCACAGCAAATACCTTGCGACAGAACAAAGTGCCAATATTGCGTAGAGACTGAGGCAGTGAAGATACCGAGCGTGACCATGGCCGTGCCACAGACCAGAACATGGCGTAAATACCCACCATCTGTGAAGCGGCCGATGAAGGCGCCAACGAAAAAGCTCAGAAATACTTGAATCGAGCCGATCCACGAGATATCTGAAGGCGGCTTGTCCAGAAGTGTAGTGTAATATGTCTGAAAGACACCAAAGCTGTTAATGAAACCCCACGTATTCATGAAGAGAAAATGGCCGCAAAGTGCTGCAACGCACGATTAGCCAAACAGCATTTCTGTAGGATACTTAGAGAAAAGAAGCCACGCACCGCATAGCCATGCCTTCCAGCCTCCGTCCGGCGGTGGACCGGGTTCGTCATCGCTGTTCCTGGCAAGATGGTTTACAGTAGGATTTACAGCAATGGAATTGGGGGGTTCCTCTGTGGCCAATTTTTCAGGGTCCAGTGATAAGGTCCAGTGTTCTTCACTGCTTGAGGAGCTGACCCCAGCGGAATCGTCTTCCTTCCCGTGTCTGGGTGACATCGCCAGCCTTCCTTGTAGATGCCTGATGCGTCCTAGGAGTAAACAAGTAGCAGAGAATGACTGAGTCCTAAATCAGGGCTTGTACCCAAAATGAACGATCACTTATTATTGTTGAAAAGCATCACTTGCCGCATACAATTTTTAAATTGCCCTGCTTTGGTTGGCTCGCACAGTTTCGGAGTTCCTGGTGAGAGCTATCCTCCGGCCTTATCCTCCGGAACCACAGGCTTATATTCGGCCCTTTCAGGAGGGACTTGATTATTATTATTGTGATTATTCAACATTATCAGACATCGGCGACCAGTGGATGCGCTACTTAATAAATATGGATTTTCAAGTTGACTGCGTAGCATTGACACTTTTCACGCACCTTTCCATCCAGGAGAAATTGTGACTAAAATGCGAGTTGTAGCAAGCTTACAATGAGCTTTTTTTCCATTTCTCATTTAGCCATGATACTTACGTAGAACTAGGAAGGCTGACTCCCTATCTAATGGGACCCTCTACAATTAGCTAGCAATCGGTGGGAGTATCTAGTCAGTGGAGGGCAGCGCTGGAGATCTTATAATCCCGATGATTCTCCTAGCCGCACCAATGCCGAAATTAACGATTCAACTCCCTGTCGAGTAGTTAAACGGTTACATGCGATTCGAACACACTCTCCCGTCGAGTTATACGGAGCATAGTCGATCTTCCATCCGTGCTCTGTGAGATGCTCATACAAAACACGAGTGTTGTGGCTGTTGATCGCGGCCGTGCGAGCGATATCCGATGCTCCATTCTCTTCTCCTTTCGGTCTCCAATAGAAACAAACTTGAGCGAAGATCTTCGCAATATCTCCTATCAACTCCAGTCGCGGATGAGCCTTGACGAGGGCGGCCAGGTGCCGTGCGCTGTCAACAGCCTGCTCAACTTCGCGGGCTATGCCTCTAGTTCCATAATAAATCCAGTGTAGAAACATCTTTGTTGCGTCGGACCGCCGAGAGCACTGTACCGTCAGAGAAGCCAAATCCCGGATATCAACCGCATCGGGAGCTTCTTCCACGAGCTTGGAGTTTCTCCAATCGTATTCGTTGTTGTCTCCATTTGTTCCATTTTCGGATATTTCAGATTCTTCAGCCGTTTTATCATGGAACAAGTATCCCGCGTTCAGTTTGTTGGCCAGCCAAAAAGTGCGCAGATCGTTTGTTAGCAGGAAGGCACAAACAAGAGGCACACCCAGCATCTTGTGGGGGTTGAAGGCAATACTATCGGCCAGTTCAGTTCCTTTGATCAGATGTCTCAGGTTATCAGAGAATGCAACCGCCCCTCCCCAGCAGGCATCGACATGAAACCACGCGTTCGCCTTGCGTGCGATTTGCCCTATTTTGTCGATAGAATCAAAGGCGCCATTCACGGTATTACCTGCTGTGGCGTTGATGAAGAGCGGCTTTTTGCCCCTTTGAATGGCATCGTCTACTGCGGCTTCGAGAGCCTCGACGTCCATTGTCCCGTCGTCCAATGCCGGCACACTGATAACCGAGTCGCTGCCGAGCCCCACGATCTGTGCCGCGTTGGACACTGAATAATGGGCTGCGTCTGAGACAAAGATCACATATTTCCCAGGCGCGACACCCTGCTGCTTAGACTCCGGTGACACGATGTTGCGAGCAACTAGCAGGGCGAGCATGTTTCCCGCAGCTCCCCCCGGCACCGTAACGCCGCCAGCGTGTAGACCCTCCAGGCCGAACAGTTTAGCCAACTCTCTGCTGACATGTTTTTCGACCGTCGTGAGAGCGGGTGATGCACGCCACACATGGCCATTGTTGTTGAAAATCGACAAGAACAGATCGGCGGCTGTTCCTGGCGGGGATGGCGCGGAGACCAACTTTCCCAGGAAGCCGGGCGATGAGTTATTCACCGAGTGCTCGCTGAGCAACGAGACTGCATTGCTGAATCCTTCCTGGCCAAGTCCTTCGGTTGAACAATTGCGAAGAAGTTGTTCCAACTCCTCGGGCAACTTTTTTAGGTCCTGCTCTTTCACAGGGCTAGGTTCTGACGTGCCGTCGGGAATATGGAGTTTGGGCGATGTGATACTCTGAACGAGTTGCACAAGCTATTGTCTTTCCTGTTAGATTCTTGACATAAGTGTTAAAGATGCATACTTACGTCTGCCAATTGCTTTTCTCTAGATGAACCAAGTTCGGTATTTTTGTGGGCTGTCATCGTGTCCGGATAACGCTTAAGGAGGAATTCAATGTGCAGAGGATTTTTTGGTTGTATGTGACGATGCGGATCAAATCCGGATCAATCTCACGATTATATTTATAATTATTATGCTAAAGTTACAAAGGTAAAGAGATACTTGAGAAGTTTTATATGTATAGATTATAGGGTATAGCATCAATCTCTACGGACCCCAGGTATCTTGACAGACGAGAAGAAATCCAAGGAGACATGCAGTGGTCAAACAACGGAGTCATTAAGGCGTAAAACGCAGCTTGTATTTGCTTTCACATTATTCCGAGTGGAATCTACGATAGGTTTTAGCATAACAGTGCTGCACCGCCGCCATTCCATCTGGTAGAGTGAGAAATGGACCGAGCAAATCAATAATGGTTCTCGGAGAGATTTAACCCCACTTTCGGAGGATAAATCTGTGAGATGAACGAATTAACTAGCGGCGATCAGCTAATTGTCCATAATTACATGCCATGCCGATCGTTCATTTCTGCATTATTATTCCGATGCACGCTTACAGTACCCACTTGGGCCAGACCTTTTGTTAACATTTCAATGCAGGAGGTGGAGTCAATTGACCTTAGCTTGTTCCTTCAGACATGCCCCTCATGTTCTCTCTCGTGAACATCATTCATGGACTTGTCAAATAGTGATTGATCACCCTCCCGGACATGGTCCCTACAGTGACCGAATGATTACTTTCCACGAAACCGGAAGTCATCTTCTATCATAATGGCACCTGAGAATTGGCATCGCGGGGACTATCTCGTCTCGACAGACCCGGACCTGCTTCAGGTCGATGCCGTGAATGCCGCTCTAGGCTCTGAGATGGTATGGTGGGCTGGCGATCTGCCAGCCGCGGCACTTCAGGAAGCGCTGCACAGTTCACTCTGTTTTGGCCTCTACCAAAAGACACCGATAGAGACATCAAATGGGACAAAGACCTCTTCAACTTCAAATGGAGTCGAACAGTCTTCGAGTAAGTGGATTCCTAGAAACAACAAGCCTGCCATTTCTGGCTAAGACCGTCGCAATAGTCGACAAGACTCCCGCCACTCTGAAGCAGATCGGGCTCGTGAGAGTCATCACGGATAACGTTACGTTCGCTTACCTGACTGATGTCTATATTCTGGACGGGCATCGGGGTGCCGGTCTTGGGCGCTGGGTACTCGAGATCTTGAATGAGAAGCTACGCAGCTGGCCGCATCTTCGCCGCGTGATGCTTTTGACGACGGACAAGATGCATCTTTTTAGCCGGAACTTGGGTATGAAAGACTACAGGGAGTTTGATGGCATGAAGGGGGTTTCTATCGCGATGGTTGAAGGGCCGGGCGCCCAGCATTGAGTAGTTTGAGTCTTCGTGTGCGCGACTGAGCATTTGTATATCCGTTTTAGATAGTAGCTAGGAAGATTCTACATTCAAGGTCATAAACCTTCAAATTTGTTTACAGAGTAATCGCTATTCAAACAGGAAGTAATATTTACAACTAGGTTAACAGCCTGGAAGGGACGTCCACAGCTGGGGTCGCGCACTTGATGGGAGCGTGATTGAGCTCGCTTAGCCACCGTAGGATATGAGCATTAGAGCTTGAGCTATATAATTTTGATTCGTTGTAGCGTAGTAGTCGAAATCCACACAGCACGCCAAATCCCAGCCTAAAGCCCACTGGGCATGCGTAAGACTTCGATCCCTACATTGCCTCATCGCTACGATGTCCTCTCGGGATTGCCGATTCCAATTACATCCACGCTGATCCTAGACTAGTTCAACTCCGGCTCTAAGCCCTCAAACTAAGTGATCCATTCAGAACGGAGAAATACCTCTGGATTACTGGCTACGATGAACTACTGTTAATGACTCAAACCACAAGTGGACAAGTTGATCTTACGTGGCTGGCGGCTGGCGGAGGTTCGGGGATACATCGAAAATGAGCGTAGTATCCCGCAGTGTGAAACAAATCGGAACCTCCTCTATTCCTATGGCCATCCTTTCATCCGACACCGGTTGTGATTTCTTCACGGAAGCAGAATCTCCGGTTACGATCGTCTCCCCGATGACAGGAAATCCTTGGCTACAAGCTCCGGAGGCCACCTAGCTGAAAAGGTGCTCAGCTGAAGAAATTCCAGCCTCGGTCGGCCAGAAACCGGACAAAGGTTTGAAGTCTATTGCTCCTAGTGGCGTGATTCAGATCATTGTATGAGAATCTAGACTCTTGTCGCAAGTGAGATCAACCACATTTCAAAGGATATAAGGGCGCTCCTGTTTGGTAAAGAAGAATCATTCTCGAGCATTACAAGCATCGGAAGCACTCGCAGTATCAGAATCCCTCTCATCAACCTTTCTTGCTCTTTATCTACCTTCAAAATGACCGTTAGCCGTCCAGCTGAATATAAGGATGTCCGCACTGCGGACCTCTCCACTATCCAGTTCTCCAACCTTTTCGACAAGGACGAGGCGGAGCTGAAGAAGCTTCTCAAGGCTTGTGAGAAAGACGGTTTCTTCTATCTCGATCTCCAGAGCGAAGGCTCTGAGAAGTTCTGGAAAGACCTATACGAAATTGACAGCATCACCAAAGAATGGTTTTCTCAGCCAGCCGATGTGAAGTTGAAGACCCCCACCGTATCTCTCTCTCATGGGTGAGTTTCAAGACTGTACAACTGATCTTGACTGGACAATAAACTAAAGAAGCTCGGAAACCAGTTTCAAGGCTGTTGGCAACCAGTCGGGAGCCGTTGAATCGCTCAAAGACGGCTTCGAAGCCCTAAAGGTATGCTACTACTTTCTTCCGCATTATCAGATCCATGTGTAACAAGACTAGATTGGAAAATTCGAGCTGGACGGGCGATGGGCGCTTCCTTCCGTTGCTCAGGACAACCTGGTCTTGTTCGACCAATTCACTGCTGCTTGCCATTTCATCTCGAAGCTTTTGCTGGACTGCATTTCCGATGAGCTAGGCCTCAAAGGAGATGCTCGCCTGGAGACCTACCACCGTGACGACTGCCGCTCCAAGAGCACCCTTTACTTCCTTCACTACCCTCACGGTGCTCAGGACCCGAGCCAGGTTGGCCAGAATATGCACACTGACATCGGTTCCCTCACCATCCTTTACGCGCCGCAGTGGGGCCTCCAAGTCTTCTCGCCCAACGACGGCGCCTGGGAATACGTCGAACCGCGACCAGGCCATGCTATCGTCAACGTTGGCGACACCCTGCGGTTCCTTTCGAACAAACGCCTTCGCTCCGCACTGCATCGCGTCTTGCCTCTGGGCGGGATCCAAAAAGAAGACCGCTACTCCATCTCGTACTTCTTGCGGGCGTCGGACTCCACCGAGTTCAAAGACAGCGACGGCGATGAGTCTAGCGCTAAACACTGGTACCTGAAGAAATACGAGATGTATGAGCTGCCCCATTCGATCCAAAAGGAAAAGACGACACTTTCTGGAGGAATGGCGCAGGAACTACTTGCCTCGTTCTAGATGTTCTGCCGTGGAATAAATCGATTTAGTGCTGTTCTTCTTCTTGTTTCTCCCCAGTTTCTATCAAGCCGTTCTCTTTCCACTCAAAAAATTCTCCGTTAGTTAGCATAGCTTTTGAATCTACTTGATTTGCAACCAGGTTTATGCATCAAGGCATGGCCCAGTGTAACGCAATTTTAATACGAGACAAAAAAGGAATGATTTTCTCACCGACCAAATAGAGTTGATTGGCGAATCCCAGAGCCTAGGCAGCCGCGGGTTCAGGGTCCCAAGGAATCACTGCAGCAATAATTCGTACATTAGTATGAACTATAAATTAGGATTTTTGTTAGTAGAATTGTAAACGGCGTCGGCGAAATTGAAATATGCAACCAATAATGTATGTGAATTATTTTAACATATACATTTAGGTGTTTCTCTATGACAAGATTGCTAAATTAGTATCGAAGCCGAATCCGAGATTTATTTTGACAACATCAACCGAGAAAATATATAACCCGCGGGGCAATACAAGAAGGATAATGACTAAAGGTGAGACTGTTAACAATTTATATTTACTATATTCTATGCAAAATAGTAGTGTCATTGCGTAGTATTCCTGTCTTGTACTGTAGCACCATAACGGTACGACCATGCCTTGCCATGAAGTTGCTGAAATCACGACACTAGTAGGAAGCAACAGTTACATTGTGACAGCCTGAGGCATGCTCTGTGGTTTGCACCGTTTGCCTCTCTCACGGGCCTCGCGTCCCCACCTTCTTTCTTCCCCCTCATTATTACAATTCTGCATACGATAGCGCCATTATAATCAGTATTGAAAAGGCTGTCGCAGAAATATGCTTACGGTTTGTGAGAACAGGGGTATACACTGCGAGCCGAGTCAGTCATGGAAATACTGATTGCTACTCAAGTAATTCTATTCTCGTCATTTTATCTTTCAATGCTTCTATAACCCCCAAGGTCTTGGTATCATCCGTTTCTTCCAAGCATGATCCTTTCAGCGCTGCCAAGATCGACTCCCCCTGTTTCCCACCGAGGAGCCCTGGTCTCCGGGAAACACTATCGCAATTTGGCTCCTCTGAGACGCAGCAATCCGGAGGAAGCCCCAATGCAAACTCAATGGGCCGTATTTTAAGTTGCATGAGTTGTACAAATAATCGACCAAAAACATTCTTTGGAGATGGGACGACGAATCCCCCCAACGAAATATTTGGCGTGGAATTCAGAATGAAATCTCGCACCACGGGGTTGCTGGAGGCCTGGTCGAGGACGTAGGAAAAGATGCAATCGTATATCAGGACGAGCTGCAGATAACAAGACATAGCAGTTAACGAATAGGAGACGTTCATTTCCTGTCGGAATCCGGGTGTTCTGCCCCCCTCTTGGTGGGTCAGCCTACTTCTTACGATACTGAGCAGCTGCTCAAACTCGGAGATGACCTCGAATGTGCTGGAGAGCGGGTTGAATTCTCGGCTTCCGTCGCCTGCCTGTCGTTGGCAACTGCATGGGCTGCAATCCAGCTTCATAACCGTTGTGATGTCCCATGACACTGACCGGAGCAGAAATAATTGTTTTGAGAGCTGCTGTTGCAGTCGCGGTAGTTGGAATCCAGGGTCGTAGGTTTGGTCCAGCAAGTGAAACGATGAGCATCGACTCAACGCACTTGAGTCGCTTGATGAACCCCATAGAAAAGGAAAGTCAGTCGCTGGGTCGGGGTATTTAAGTCGTGAGTCTGCAAAATCTTGGATATACATCGGGGGGGAGACGGGCGAGAAGAGCGTAGCAGGGTCACTTCCGCTGCCATCCAAAGAGGTGGAAGCCATCCCAAAGAGATCTTCCGGTAGGATTGATACATTCCCTGCGACAAATCCGGATTCGATTGCCCTACCGCTGTCCAAGCTTTTGGTTCGAGACTCTTGAGGCTCCCGGGTGGAACAGTGGTGGCTTGAAGGATTATTGCGCCCTGCTGGGCGGCCCGGCGTCTTTCGCAGACTGACAATGCACTCCGCCTGAGCTTGTAGGCATCTTACACAAGGCTCGAAATTATTCTCGTCCCTCCGAATACATTTGAGTTTCTGGTCCCGGCAGCGCTCGCAGGCCAAACGTCGCTTCGACATGTGCCCTGATGGATCTGAGTGGTCTGTCGCCAGCATCGGATCGAACCAGTATGACCGGAAAAGAAAAACAAAAAAGAGGTAAAATTTTGTATCTTCGACTCAGAATATTTGAAGGGGCTTACGCCCAGGATTGATAAATCCGAATGAGACGTCGACATACCCATCAATCGCAATTGACGCGGCCCGATTTCCCAGCATCTTTATAGTATTGGCCCTGCCTAACGATGCAGTCAGGGTCTGCACGCCATACAGCCCATGTATTCCATTATTGCGTACGACCTACGAGAAGTGGCAATGGTTCAACAGTTGCTTACGCCCTTCGTGAGCACTAACCGAAGGGGGAAAAAATTGTGTATGAAAAAAAGGAGCGATCCTACCTAAAACAGCCGAATCGACTGCAGCTCGTATCCCCGTGCGGAGTTGCAGTGGAAGCAGTAATATGGCGCGTCTGAAGGCGCCAATGTGACCCCAGAAAACACAGGGCCCCATGGCTGCATGTGGTTGGATTCTGCAATAAAAAGTGTCATCAAATGTCGAGCCGAATACGATTGGCAGGCCGTTCCCATATCCTGGTCATTACCAATCTAAGCTAAGCGCTAGTTCTCTCGCAGATGATCTGCCTAGATTGACTTTGGCAGCTTGTGCCTTCGCCCATTCTTGGCCCGGGGTCCAGATGAGTCCATCGGCCATTCCCTGCTAGGTCCTGAGGCGGCTACTCACAACAGGTAGCTATAGGCGAGATACCCAGAACAATTGATTGCCTGCAAGAAAGTACGACAATGTGGTAGGCCCACAACGGCGACTTTTTTTTATACTTAGTCCCTCGGATCCGGAAGACCAGCGGCAACCAGCGAGCCAACGGGCGAAGGATCCGGCTGCGAGCCGGCCCGGGATCCACTTATCCAGTGGTGGCGTATTCCAGGGCTTCAACAGGACGTACTACCTGCCATATGCTGGTTTGGAGCTGAAACCTGAAACCTGAAAAGGATGTAATTCATGTCTTCAAGCCTAGCCAGTTTTGGAACGATGGAATCTCCAACTCGGCATCCACCGCGAATCTGGGAGGGCCTGAGCGTATTCGCACGGCTCTTGGCGAAGATGATCAATGATCGTCAGAGAAGACTTTGTGGGAATGTGAGTGGGCAGGTGAATGTAATTGGGGAGAGCGATTTGGGGCTAGTTTTGGGTTCTATATCGAAGGATTCATTGATCTTCAGCCTTGCGTGTGCGCCTCCAATATGGTGTGCTAGGTGAGACGCCCGCGTTTGGAGTAACCTCCTCCTCGTCCACGAAAGTCCACGGCCAACGGCCCCGCCGGCCCACGTGCAGCTATTGACCGCTCTCATGCCGATTTCCCCTTTGGGGCAAGCGAGTGAAGGTCTGCCTAGGCTGAAGAAAATTGCGATGTGCCGTGAGCCGAGTCGACCTCAACATCTTCCTTCAAGACACAGTCCGTCAGCTCAGAAGGTATGCGGTATACCGTATATCTTGGTGCCAATGCAGGGCCTATTCTTATTGTGTATCTGCACTATTACTGCCTGGATAAGGCCCGGACTTGTGCAACAGCAGTAGTGTAATATTGCACATTTTTGCAAGGCATAACTCTGTAATTATATATTTATGTCCTTGGGGTGTTACCCTGTGCCCAATGTCACAGTGGGGTTGCTCTCTGTCCTGCCCGGGCTTAGAATGTATTCAAAGCCTCTATTCAATTGGTTATATCTTATACATGAAGCAAGTATGTTATACATTGACAAATAGACTATTGAATCTTCATTGCTGTTGGGATATTTGATTTTGGCTATTTTATATGGAATATAGAGGTGGGATGTTCGCTGGTGAAATACGTTATCACGAATATAGTAGCTACTAGATAGTCCATGCTCTTAACATTCCAGCAGTGAAGCGTATCTCCGAGTCGTACCTTACTTTACTGATGTGTTTTCTATAGTTCAGTGGATTTGTAGGGTATCTCTATACTTTATTCTACGTCATCGATGAGAATATTCAGGGCAATGGGTGTGTACTGTGTATTGAGCATTGTATGATCCTGTCTAATATTGTACCCAAAGTACCCACAACTGTAGAGTGTTCGAGAACAAGGGTTCGATCATTTACAACTTGGATATGATAGTCAATAGAATAGACGCCGTCACGTTGTACAGGCTTCATTACTCTTAGTGGGTACTTTAAAATAATTTAAATAATAGCTAAAATACTACTAATAGTAATCTTCTTTCCAGTCAAACCTCGATATCCACAAGTTACAGGGTCTACCCTCTATTTTTTTACTCTTTAGAATGCCATTTAACTTTATCTTTTTGTTTTTGTTTTTTTGTATATCTTCTATTCTTTTTGAATACTCCTATATTAATCCCTTTTGCCATCCCAGGACTAGAGAGAAGAATTGTTCTTACTGTCCCTTGAAATATCCTAGAGCGCTGCATCGCCACAAGATGATCTTCGGGGAGACTTGGGGCCCTCGTAATGCCATGTTTATCTCCCATCTTAAGAAAACAGAGACGAAGCGATGGTGTGTTGTTGTGGATGGACGGTTCAACTGACTCGGGAATGACAGCTGCTAAGCCAAGCACCTTCTATCGGTCAACAGAGTAAGGCACAAAGAGCAAGGAGGAAAATTAGGGTCAATATTATGAAAAGGTACAAGGTAACACCAAGCAAAAAGCAAAGAAGTATGGTCTAGCGTTTCTGTACCAATATACAGGTTCGATAAGTACGGCGCGTCTGCACCGTCGGGGAATCGGGATTGTACAAAACGAAGCCATTCATATCACTTCTGCTCTTAATAAAGACACGTTGCCTTTTAAGAGTCCGATAATATCGCTGCATTAAGAAGTCATCGTACGCCAGCTCCTCCGCACTTGGTCGCTCTTCAGGTACCCAACGAAATACCCTCCGGAGGAAATTCAGAAAGAGCTTTCGATATATATCAGAGAATTCTCGTTCTCTCATCTCAAACGACTGTTCCGGTATTGGAATTGATCCCTTCCAGTTGCCTGTGACGGAGTAGAATTTTTAACGTTATGTAATGAGGTAAAAGTAAAGGGGATGTCGGAACGAGTCATACCTTGCTCGTCCCAAAACTGGCCAGATCTCTTACTTCTTCTGAGGAACTCCGGGGGTGGAGGTCCCATAAGCGATACTATTTCTGCTAGGTGCTGCTCATCATTGAGCTGGCCTTCTCTTTTTGCGAAGAAAAGGTGGGTATCCTGTACCAAATCCCAGATCTAGATTCTCACTCAGCATTATACTTCAACTTTCTCAGAATAATAACAACTCACCATCGTTCCAGTAGACCAAATATCGACTTTACAGTCCCATTCCATATCCAGAGTTACTTCTGGTGCGCGATAGACTCCCGGCATGATATCGCCTCTATGTTTATGTTTCCCCATCCTAGCTTCGCCCAGGTCGGAAACAACCGGTGAACTAGTACATACAGGTATGGGCCGGGAGTAATAGATGTGACGATCATCCAATACTTTTCTAGGAATAGGCTGCACCATCTCGTCCTCTTCAATCTGAGCGAGAATTTTACTGTCCATAATCCCTTGGAGTATATTATTAGATGAGATATCTGCAGCTTCGTAAGCTTTTCGTGGATTTAAATTTCCTGCGATATAATATTAACTTGCCAGTATGGACCACCCAGTTATCATGCATAAATGCTAGTGAAATTAAAAAAAGTTGGATACTTCTCTGTGCAAGATCTTTCGGAAATTTGTTCCCGGGGAGTAAATCTCGGAATTCGGTAAAATTCATTCCAAGTGATTGATACACCAAGCAGAAGTGCTTTCCATAAGGGCCGGTAATTTCAAATAAATCGAGAACTAAACGGATTAGACTTTTCCCAGGGTGGCTATCAGCATTCTTTAAATGCTGCGAGGTAGCTAATTCGCGCTCAGGGCATTGTCCACGAACACAAACTTTCACTGTAAAGAAACCGTTCCCTCTGCAATTTTTAAGCTAGCCAAATATAATTTCGTGTATAGATATCTTACTGAAGATCACGGCAAAGCCAGACTGTAGAAGATGTGCCATATCCAAGCTTTGAAACAACTTGATATCGAGATGCCAGTACTTCACCAATGTACACAGGATAAAAGTTGCGTTGATCATAAAGAGGAACATTTTCTTCTTCTACTTGCTCTTTAGAGTCCAGTTGCACAAAACCAGATTTGGGGAACCGGCGCGGGGAATTCGAAGGGATGCAGGCTATGGTTCTCATCGACATACAATGAAATGGAGCTATGATAGATTTTCGAGATATATTCATACAAGTGAGACGTATTACTCTGAGACCTGCACAATGTAACGACATGGCAGTTATGCTCTGTTCTCAGATTAATCATGGAATATCTTTGTTTTGAAAGAAGGCCAGCTGCAGCTCTCACGTTGAAGGTAAACATTAAACTGGCATGTCACGCTAGTCCAGAAGAGGTGTAGGCTGCTGATCCTGAATGAGTTTTAGTTATACCCCAGGTTTTGGATCTGGATGAATTATTCTCCAAGTAGCAATGAAGAGAAAAAGTATTTCAAAAACTCTGTAGTAGGAGAACAATTCTTATATTTAGAAGGGTAAACGTATTTATAATATAAAATATCGATAGATATAGCTTTTCCAGAGTTCCAGCATCAGGGATCCACAACATCGCCCTTATTCTAACAAATTGATGGCTCCACCACGCCCTGCCAGAGGATGCACGGGGGTACCAACACTCAAATTACGGTTGGGGGTATCGCTACGAAATAGACTAGGAAAGAGTTACTCGAGCCCAAGGAACGTATGTGCCTGGTCTTCGTAAAAAGTATACCCTGATTTATTGAATAACGTAGTTTGCACCGACAGGGGTGTTCTAGATTATCTAGAACAAATGTCATAAGGTTGAGCAGCTAGATAGATCAAGTACAAGTATTCCCCTGAAGCCTAAGCTATTCTTCTCTGAGTCATAGCATTGTCGTCGGCAGTATCACCGATATTCCCTCCTTCAGTTTGCTGCACTGTTCAGATCAGACTCCATCTGCCGCTTTAGGCTTTGGTGGTATCGCAGCAGCACTTCTGGGCGAACATATAGCAACCGTCATCGGTCATATGGGAGAACTTGTAAGGCGCGCAGTACTGCTCGCATTTGCCAGCCCAGAACTTGCTGCAGGAGCTGGGCTTGTGGCAGGTGCCGGATCGGGCCGCCAGGTTGTTCTCGATATTCGCCTCGGGATGGGCGAGCACACCAGCGGCGACGGTGGCGAGGACGAGGAGGAAGTTGGTCTTCATCGTGATCTGAGATGAATGGAAGGAAGGATATGTATGATCGTTTAAGATGATGTTGTGGATTATTGTTGGTGATAGTTCGAGTAGAGCTTGAACTGGACTTGATAGTGGGAAGGGAAAGGAGGTCAGATTTATACCCAAGGTGAATAGGTCATTTACAATCAAGTCTTGCTTCCACCCCCATTTTCAGGATTCGAATTTACGAGAGATGCCCATAGTTGTTGGGGAAATTTCCCGCGAGCCCTTTAAATCTTCCGCTTTATGACTATCATGATGCGTATCTAGTGATCGGCGTGTCAATTCGGCCTACCATGAGTAGACAAAATACTCACCCGCGGTCCTCCTCTCCAGAAGCGAAGATATAGCATGACTAGCCAGGAACCTAGGGGTATCTTTTTCCTGAAACGGTGCACTAAGAGTGGGGGGCCAAGCGATGCCTTTTCGTATCGACGGATGAAAAAGTGGAAGCGACCCACAATCTTGTCAATCAGTTCGTGTTCACAGAGTCGGTGTAGTTCAATTAAGACTAAGCCACATTTCTTGCTTCGGCTAGGCTATATGAACTTTCCCAGATATCTGAGCGTCAGGTTGTCTAGGTGCCAAGGCACGCTTGCGCAAGGAAGGCTCAGGTGGTCGTCAATGTGGCTTTAAGGCAGTGGGAAGTTGAATTACGTTTGACCGAGGGTTTAAACGCACAAGATCGTGAACGTAGAAGATGCACTGAATCCCAATTGGCTTTCAATAGACCGTGCAGTTGGCATGGCAGGGTAGCTATCCGTCTCGATGGAATGGGAAGAACCCTATATGGATTAGACGACCTTCGGCGGGCATGCCAGCGGATGGGCATGGAAAGATCGGCTCATGCGGCACAAGTGGAGTCCAATCCAGTAAAAACCTCCACCAACTTCCCCTTTGCATGTACATGGATGAATACAGCCAAGCTGCCACACTTGTAACCTCGGCAGATTTGCCTTGGGTTTCCGTGGTTCGATGACAGACAAATATCTGGACTGGTATCTTTGCTGGCATCTGGGTCTCCCAATCGCTCTCGCTCCCTGGCTCTCTCTTTGTGTTTCTTACGTTCGCCTGTTACATTCGCATCGTGTACCTTTCGTTAACATAGCAGTGATCCTAGCAGATAAATCGCATTTCCTTGACCGACTAATCAGACTTTCAGACGATTTAGAAATCTAGCGCGAGTGAGATAAGGGTATATTGTAGCATGGACCTATGCCAAAAGTTGATTAATCCAGTGGAGTAACCGACCTCATTTCTGAACAACAGTGCAAAATCCAATAAAAAGATAATATAACGGGAAGATGACGAAGCTACTGAGAGGTGTCCAGATATCGAAATGCCGAAATACTTCTGAGGTCAAAAGATAAAGCAACCAAACCCGTGCTGGCAATGCTTCTCTTAGCCAATGCTCATGCAATTGGAATAACATGTGTCGCAATCTGAAACTCGATAAGCCAGAGATACACTGCAGTGATGAGAGTCATGGTTTCCCATTTTTCTCCCAAGACGCCGGTAAGCCCGCTACCCACAAAAGCAAACTTGAATCCTTTCGACAGACTCAACGATGCATTGTGGGCGATGACAGCCACAATCTCCTTCCCATCACTGGAACACCCCATCGCTCGCTGGGAGCGACTCCCGCCTGTCTCGCCCACCGCTTCCGACAGTCGCACCAGCTTCCAACCCGTTGTGTGGCCGGCGAGCTCCTTGATTTCTTTGCCGTGCTTGAGCGCCACTGAAATTGTTCACAGGAGGCGTCCTTGCCGCTGCCGCCAACCGCGATCGAGAATGTCGGGCTCATGCGTTTGTATGGCTTGACACCCTCTAATGGTTCTATAATAGAGTTTTCTTGAAGCTCGCCCTGCGATGCAAAGGTCACCGAGATTGGCTTTTCTCGGAGATATGGGTCACTCTGCAGTGATGCCAGAGGTGGATGCTTATCGGTCGGCCCGTCGTGAAGGATCATCGTCTGTATGCTCTTACGGTGCTGAACATCTATCGACATAAAGTACAGCTTCTCTGATGCCGATGGCCCCAAATGCAACTCTGGAGTGAATTTCATTGGCATGTAACCATTCATGGCCGGCGGGAATTTGCTAGTTGCAGCTTGCAATCTTGTTGAGTCGCTGGTCGAGCCATTGAAATGGGGGGCCTCATATTGCGGGGCCTGCTCTCTAGATACCGTGCTGTGATCATGTTCTGAGTAGGGGGGAGGCAAAGAATCGTAGACAGCTGGACCCAATGATGGGGTGTTATGCTTGCTCATTGTGTAAGTAGCGGAAATTTGTAGTTACTGGAAGGCTAAGCAGGGGAGGACGATGTGCTGTAAGTCGAAACCTGATGGATATCTTGATTCTCGTATAAATTCGTGCCCTAACCCGATTTGGATGCATGTAGCGCCAGTCAGCCTGACGATGGCATATCGTGGCAGTGCTGCCCAAACAGCCTCCTGTTTCCTTCCAGCTGAAGATAGCTTGGCCATCGCTCCATCCCTTTCTGGTTTAGCGCCCACTGCTGGTCTCTACTGTCTGATTGGTCGAATGGAAGTGTATCCCTTCGGACGAGATTCCAGTGTCAATCTTGGGAGAAGATAGGACGATTCAGCCCTATACGATTGAGGCGTTCGAAAATCTTATCGCACAGCCTGAGCTATTCTTATGGGCCTGGGAGCCATTAAGTGTCGGGCATCCTGTCTATATAATACTCTCTTGGGTCCCCCTGCACTCTCTGGTTCATCATATTCCTCAGACATAACTGCTTCGACTTGGTTGCAAGAAGAAGACTCTGTGACAATGGCTGGTAAGCAAGTTTGTATCCTTTTGCAAATAGTCTTGTGTCATTAAAAACGCACTAGCGGAGGAGAGCATCTACATCTACGTACCCAACAAGATAGCGCCTATTATATTCGCCATAGCATTCGCTGCCTCGCTTGCTCTACACTTCTGGCAGTGCATGTAAGTGACTAAAGTCTCGGGATCCTCGCATTCGTTGGTATGGAATTGCTAACAGTCTAATGATAGCCATTACAAATGTTTCAAACTCATGAGTCTGCACCTCGTGTGCTGCTTGATGTTTACAATTGGGTTTTCGTTGCGTGAATATGGTGCCTTTCACCATTCATTCAGCAAGGCAGATCTATATACCTACATTGGTAGCACATGTTTGATTTATATGTCCCCGTAAGACTACCTCTTATCATAAAAGGTATTAATTTCAAGCTAACATACATGGGAAGACCGCTCCTGGAGCTAGCCAATTACCAGGTCCTCGGCCGTATTCTTTACTACGTTCCCTATCACTCGCCGATCCACCCCGGTCGGGTCCTGACTACCTTCGGCATGCTCTCCACTGTCGTGGAGGTCTTGAACGCTCTGGGCGTATCCTACATTGCGAATCCAGAGCTGCCAGAATCTACCACGAAGCTCGGCCATATTCTCATGAAAATATCACTCATAGCTCAAGTCCTAGTCATTACAGCGTTCTGTCTCTTAGCAGCAACCTTTCAGCGACGCTGCTACAGATCGGGCATTCGCAGTCGCCGCATCTCCGCTCCTCTCGTCACCCTATATATCAGTACCTTCCTTATTTTGGTACGATGTATTTACCGTATCGTCGAGCACTTTGGTGCCTCAAAGGTCCACGCCTCTTCATTGGGAGAACTTGACGATCTCAGTCCTATTCTACGACATGAGTGGTTTTTCTACGTCTTCGAGGCGAGCCTCATGCTTGTCAACACCCTCATGTGGAACTGGCGGCACCCGAGAAGATTCCTCCCAGCGAGATCCAACATCTATCTTGCACAAGACGGAGAGACAGAGCTCAAGGGACCCGGTTGGAAGGACCATCGCCCGTTCCTAGTGACGCTTTGTGATCCGTTCGGTTGGTTTGACTCGAACCAGAAAAAGGAGCGCCCTTTTTGGGAGAACAATGGGTACACGCTTGTCAATAGTGCAGCATGATATATTTGGAGGGTTCTATGCTCAGAGTTGGCGTTCCTGGTGTCGATCTAGTAATGTATTTTCAGGTCCTGCTTTTCGTGACTTAATTAATATGCATCAACCAACAACGATTCAGAAACTAGGGTGGGAACACGGGGTTTTATAGACACTGAGACCAGTTCAGTTTAGCTGAAATGAATTTAACTGCCTAACGCTATCAAATCTGATGTGCGTGCAAATATATTCCTTTTCGGCTTTCCTTTCTAAGCTGAATTGATTTCTTTTATGTCTTTCCTGTCCTATACACATACCAAGCTAAATACAAGGCAGGATTTGGTAGCTTTGGTTCGTTGCTGACTTATATTGTGCAGTGATATCTGTGGGATTCTATTCCTAAATACTCCGAAGAAATCCTTTCCATTAGAAATGTTAAGGGACATAGATTGCTCTTAATGGGTGCACTGTTCCCTTCTATTCGACGGCCACAATAAATCGAATGTTTGATGGAAACTTCTTCACTATTTCTTGCGATGCATTTCGGTGAATAGTGGCAATGGAATCATCTAGAATCAAGTATTTAAAACCGGACGAGAGGCAATACTATAATCGTACGCATGAGGTTTCACGAATATAGGCCTGAGGAACACCGTCCGATCACCTTCACCGCATAGGTATCCTTTGAGCGTCCGGGCTTCACAACTAATACCCCCGTTGAACTACGCACTCTTTCCGCGATGTACGATATAATGGTGGTCCTGACCTTTCTTGTAGCCTTGATTGCAGGCGTATTCGGCTTTGTGCCTGAAAAGGGTGGCTTGCAATATGAACGCCTGGTAAGCAATGGTTGTCATATTGAACGTTCAAGGGTGCTAACTATCCTACTTTCACAGACTAACCCGATCCCACTAACTCACGACCTTGGAGCTTCGCAA